CTTAGACAAAAGCGAGAACACTCTAGAAGGATCAGTACATTTTAACTCAAAACGTTTGTCAGTTCCCTCAAGGTAATGTAGGTGTGATGGACCATTATTAGAATAAATCTGGCTAGCAAGCTTGGGTCCAATAGAAGAAAAGTGATCGTTGAAGGCATCGGCCAGCTCAGGAGGGCCGTAAATAGAGTTACCGTTGCTTTTGATTTCTTTTATGCAACAATTATTAGTTTCCCTTGACGTGAGCTCATTTACAATCTTCCAGGTCTGGCGCGAATTGCCTTCGTTTTCATCTAATGCCCTTTTATAATAGAGCTATTTTGCTTTTTTAATTTCGTTATTAACTAGGTTGCGACATTTTTTAAATCGTAGCCAGTCATTAGCGTCCTTAGAACGCGATGCTTTCAATTTAAGAATATCTCTGTCATGTATTCGTTTCTTTAAGTAACTAAGAGTGCAATCATTGGTTTTTTCTCGCCTCCTCCTTTCTTTTTCTTTTTCCTTTTCCTTCGTTAGTGTGATTTTTAGCTCTAATTTAACTCAAAAAATTGTTTTTTGAGCAATGTGAGAATGAATATAAGAAGTTGTGTGGGGTTCAAAAACCTGTTTCGGAAATAAGAACCTAAAAACAACCACAGCCAGGGAAACGGGGAAACGGTAGGTTTAACGCCGAAACGATCGCCAAAAAACTTGTGATTTGAAATTACTGCATGCAAGAAAAAAATTTCTTCTCTGCGAAATCACGGTTGTTTCAAAACTGTCGGCATTTTGATGCGATTTATGGGCGATTTTCAACGCGAAAGTTGCAGAAGGCCTTTACCTCTGTCGACCGTCGGCTGGTTAGCTCAGTTGGGAGAACGCCGGTCTGCTGAGCGGGAGTTCGTGGTTTCAAACCCCGGCCGGACCAACACTCAGAGTCTTAAATAACTAGGGAGAAAGTTCCTGCTTTGTAATCATATCTACAAACGGTTAGATTTATTAGTCGTGTCGGATAAGAATGACAAATAACAAACCTTGCAAATTCAAGTCTGTTGTGAAAGAAATTACACACTATTGATAAGAGTAAGGGACCTTGTCCCTTGTGAGGTGGTCCACTCAAATCAGTCACATTTACATTAGAGGGCATTTATAACTGCGGTACAAGTAGGGTCACTAACAAGAAGTCTAGAGAAAGTCCCCAACTAGTGTTGTAGATCATCCATTTAGGTTCGATTTCACATGCAAGGACCAAACAATGCTAAAACCACATACTTCGCTTAATCTTACCTGTCTCGGTTGTTTCATGCTTCCAACTACAGCATATGAATCGAATTTGGGATCCCAGGTGGCGCGAAAATTTGTCAACCATCGGCCAACTTGATTATCATGTCTGTCGATAGGAGAAGGCAACGTCAAAAATTTGCAATTCATTTTTATACTTTTCTCTACGAAAACAGGCCGGGCGTCCAATAATCTGCGCTTTCCTTAAAAAGTATTGTTCCGTTTTCTCATTTGTAAGGAAAGCGGTCGTAGGAGAACTGGAAAACTCCGCTCATTCGCACCGGAAATGAACCGTATTATTTGAGCTTTCAACCGGAAATACGAGGCATATGGTGAACGTGGTCTCACAATTGGTCCAATGATAATCCGGGCATTCCGGTTCGAACAGAAAAAGAGGAATCTGCAACATATCCTCATTGCATACCCATTACCTCACCGCATGACGGGAAAAACTGATGGAGTGGCGCGAATTCTAAAACGCTCGACTAATCAACAGTCCCATAATAAAAAGCCAACTTTTCGGAATATGACTTACCTGAAACAACATTTCGGTGAAGAGGAAACATGCCCGGATGAGTCAACTTGATTAATACTGATGAAAAAGAAGAAAAAAGAAAACACGACATAAATTCACTTTGGTTTTCAAAAATCATAGCCTGAATTTCAGACGATTACTTCGAGTCGTTTTCATTCCCTCAGTTGCTGAGAGGAGAAAACGACTCAAAGTAATCGTCTGAAATTCAGGCCATCAAGATCATTGTAATATATAGATTAAGCCAAGGCTAAAAGGGAAGCGTCCATTTATATAAAGGATATTACATGGCCGCGCGGAGATACGAAATTTCTCTTCGAGTGTTGAAAAATATTTTACGAGTGAGCGCAGCAAAGGAGTGAAATATTTTTTCAACACGAGAAGAGAAATTTTGTACCTCCAAGCGGCCATGTAATGTACTATTTATTATTTAAACACCAATGAACTACCAAACCATTTCACTTTCATAGTTTTTTGGTGTGAAAGGCGCGATTTATCATGTAGCCATAGCAACGGTGATATTTTCACATGTGAAGATATCAAGTTTTCGCGCGAAAGCTCACCTGGTATTTCATTGGTGTTTATATAATACATATTTTTAATTACTTACTTGAACCGGACTTTTGGAGAGAGAGAGAGAGAGAAAGAGAGAGAGAGAAACAGCAACAACAAAGCCGAACAAAGTGCATTCATTTGCAACATACGCGTATAGCTGTCGCCGGAAATTTTTAATGTTTTTAAGCCAAAAACAATGAAAAATTGCAGCAGGCAAATGCGACAGCTACATATATGTGTAGTGTTGCAAATGAACGCACCCTTTCTTTCGACTTTATTTTTATGTCGACATTGACCTGGATAACAGCTGACTGACTGTAGTGATTGATATCTAACTTCAAACAGTCAGCAGCAGTTTGAAAAAAAATGTCCATTTTTTGTTTTCAAACACCTTTAAGTTACTAAGAAACAGCTCTTGCTGTAGATTTCAAGTAGGGAAATTGACAAAGATGAAGGACGACTGTCGAATCAGTGTAATAAATACACAAAACAGGTCACTAAATTCTGTTATTGTATCTCTAAATGAGTACACACACTTTGAATGGTCAATTTCGTGGGAAATATTTCACTGTACGGCCGAATTCAAAAGTTTTTTTTATTCGCTGATTGTTTCATGTAATTTTGGACAATGGGTACGTTAAGAGATAAATATTTTTGACAATTCAAAGCCTTGACTTTGGACCCTTTTGGATTGGATGCACCACGACCATCAACAGTTGTTCCACTTCTTGAAAATGAAACCTTCAATGCTCTTTTAGACTCTCCTTTAACCCAGAGATTTAATAAATATCCTGTTCTAACTCCATCAATCCGTAAGTTACATCAATCTGTAAGTTACAGAACCTCATTTAATAAACAGTTGATATTTGTTGTATCTGTGGATGGTTTAGTCATGAGCAAATACAACAGAAATGCGGGATCATATGATTATCATTTGCTTTGGACGATAATTTTCATACACTGAACCACTCAATAAAAAGCTTTCTGTTTTCTTGCTTTCAGTTTTTCCTGCAGGTCCATTTCCGACTAACACCCAATCAAATTCAACAGCAGCAACAGAAGAGAGGACTGGAGCTAGTCAACAGAGTTTGCCACCTGGCCTTGCACCTGCACCACCCAGAAACATCCCCTCTGCAAACCCTCTTAATCCTTTTACTCAGCTCTGAGTACTTTTCCAGACGAACACCTTCTCATAGAACATTCTCGAGTCAATGTGTAAACCCTCTTAACCCTTTTAAGCCCTCGTATCTAAAAACAAGTTCTGCAGACTGATTTCCTTACGTCCTTAAAGAACTAGTTGAGAGAATTTGATGAAAGATTAAAGCATATTCCCTTTGGTGATCGTTTTCATAATTCTCAAAACCTGTTCTCTTGATTATGTATTGAAACTGTGAAAAGAAGATTGATGTCGTTCACTTTTGGGACCTCAGCAGTCAATCCTTTTGCTCGGTGTTGATAGGGTCCTGTGGACATGGGAGTGAATGTCTAAAGAGGTTTTTGATGGGGAAGCAATCAGAACTTTTAGGTCTTATTTTCTGCAAAAAATTCAGGAAGTTTCAAACATGCACAACGGAACTGTGCCAGGTAACGGAAGTTTCTATTGTATGGTATAAAAAAATGCATTGCCTTGAAGATGGTGTTCAATTTTCAAACATTGCTGTCCTTGATGTCACATGAATTTTCAGTCTTACTTTTTGTCATGCTGTAATTTGTGGTCCTGTGGGACGTAATTAGCTTTTTGTCTCAGGAAACATTGAGGTTCAAGGAATGACAGTTTCCTAAGGGAATAGCCGCCCGTTTCTCAAATTTGGGCCTGAAATCAAATATTCAATTCAAAGTTTTTTAAAAGTGCAGGTCCTAGCTTACAAACGGTTGAAACCTGTGAGAGTTTTATCATATTATTATACGTTGTACTCATTATCTGTCTTCTAATTGGCTAAGAGCCCACACAATGCATGATTTCCAATAAAAATTAATTCAGGTTCCATGCCACGGTGTGTTTGTTGTTATTTTCTTCAAAAGAATGTGTAATAAACCAATTATTAGATTCGGTTTTTGCGATATCCTAAAAATGTTTAAAAATCAAGGTCTCGTTAAGTCTTACGAGCCTCAGCCTTCTGCTCGGCTGATAACACTTACCTCGACCTTGATTATTCCAGATATCACAAAAAGCTCACCCAATAGTTGTTTATTATCTGCAAAACTTTTGAAACCTATATCTTGAATTTTAACTGACAACAGGTCTCTAGGCCCATTAATTATTGGGACTTTCAGGAAACGGGTCCCAGATTCGGGTTTTGTCATGGAGCCACAGGAAAATACACAAACAAACAAACAACAATTTATGTACAACACTGAACAAATTGCTAAATAGTATCTTACGCTGGTTACCCTTGAATTTGGCGGCTACATTAACATTTATTGTCTAATAACAGTCTAGGTTATTCCAAGGGAAACAGCTTTTCTCCCCACAACAACAACTACAAACTTTATTAATACACAGATAATATTACAGAAGCACTAGCCGCGTGTGCAAAATGAAATTAAGATTAAGGCTAACTAAGGAAAGTTTACAGTATATGTTGTAGTTAATATTTTATCTTGGGCAATTTTGTGTTTTTTTTTGTTGTTTTTGGGCATGGTAATGTATGCAAATGAAGTTGAAACAAAAGAAAAGAAAAGTAAAAATTACCCGAGATAAAAAAATTTATAACTACAACATACACAAATAAATGACATCAGATGGATGAGGACTAGATAACAAGATAAAGAAAGAATTACACAAATTAAAAATTATAAAAGGAGAAACGAACAAGCAAAAACATATTTATTTTTCGATATTTTTGGCTAATTTAACTTTTTTTTACTAAGTTGGGCGTATCAATATAGTCATCTGAAATAAAAATTCTGAAATATTATTCAGTTCTCTCTACTTTGTTCTCAACAGAGTTTTAACCACAAGCACTGTAAACGAATATTAAATTATAATACTTTTGTTAAACAGTACCATTTATGTGAAAAGATGTAAAAGAAACAAAGAACCAAATATTGCATTCTTTGTGATGCTGAACCATCATTCAAAAATCTGAATACGACCGTTTCTGAGGTCAGACACAACTATTTTACCATCATGGGAGAGCATGCGTGGGGTCGGTGTGCGGTGGCACGTTTTGTGAGGAGCGTAGTTTCTGTCCCTTTACGCCAATTTTAAGAGAACTTTATACCGCCTTGACATAATAATTCAACGTTTAAACACTTGCTGAAGTATTAAATGCAGAAATTAGGAGGAAAACACAAACGAGGAGCTCGAGGATCAGTGGAAGAAGAAGAACCATCGACACTTAAAAGAGCCAACATGGCGGAATGTCAAGAGGAAGAGGCCGCGGAGTTAGTGGAAGCGACAAATGAAGCAATAAACGCCGAAGGTGAGCCCAGTAATGCAGAACTAAGGGAGATGTTGGTAGACATTCAAATAAATACTGCAACTATCCTACGCGAAAACAAAACAATCAGAAGCGAAATGACCGATCTCAAGCGCACAATTCAACATCAAACAGACGATATAACTGCGTTGAAATCATCTCTAGAACATAACGAAGCAGTACAACGAGGTAGAACGCGGGCTGGTGGCAGCAAGAAAGAAAATTCAAGAGCAGGAAGAAGAAATTGGTGAATTGTACGATCTTCAAGACAAACTAGAACAATACACGAGGAAAAACTCAATAGAAATACATGGTGTACCAGAAAGCGCCTACACCGAGACGGAAGACGTGGTGTTAAAATTAGCGGAGGCCCTAGATGTATCGGTGGAACCAAAGGATATCGAAATATGTCACAAGCTGAACAGGAAGGGTAACAAACCAATTATTGTAAAATTTATAAGCCACAAGGTCAAAACAAATCTATACAGGGCTAGGGCTAAGCTAAAAAATGTCAGAGTTTCTAACATCTTCCCGCAGTGCTCGTCGTCAACTCTAGTGCAAGCCGACAGAATTTTTTTAAACGAGAATCTTACCTCGTACAGGAAAAAAATAATGAATCGGGCAAACGAGATGCGGAGAAATGATGAATTGTTGAGTGTCTGGTCAATGGATGGATCAATATATGTCAAGACCTCTCCGCAGGGTAAGCCGGTCAGAATTAACGAGCTGGAAGACTTAGATTATCTTTAAATGTCCAATCGTCTGGCCAAGGAAGATAAAAACTGTAACTTACATTTGGGACAGGAACAAAAAACGCAAAGTTCGGAGAAGAAGAAGGGAAACGCTCAAAAACTACTTTAATTTACGTTTTGTATAATTTTAGTTTTGTTTGCTTCTGTATTTTTTTTTTTTTTTTTTTTAAATTTGCATATATATTCTTCTTGTTTTTTTTTGTTTTTTATTGTAATGCAAGAGAAAGCAAAATACGATATACTTTCTCTAAACGTAAGGGGAATAAGAGATCAAGCCAAACGGAGGAGCATTTTTCTATATCTCAAAGACCATAACTCAAAAATTTATTTCTTGCAAGAAACTTACTCTCAACCAGAAGATGAAATTATTTGGAAAAACGAATGGGGAGGTGAAATATTTTTCTCTCACGGATCCAGGCATAGTAAAGGTGTTTGCATTCTTTTACACCCTACGGTACAAAATAAGATCGATTACTCATTCAGTGACAAGGCTGGAAGAATCGTGCTAATTACTTGTGTTCTGAATTCTCTAAAATTATCACTGGTGAATATTTATGCCCCGAATAGCCAAAGTGAACAATTAGATTTCTTACAAAACTTAAACAATTGCCTTATCGACAAGTCAGAAATTTCCACGCTTATTGTAGGAGGCGACTGGAATTGCACACTATCAAAGATAGATAAAATTGGTGGCACAATTTGAAACCAACAAATTATCGAAACCTGATTTTGACAACTATGGACGCTTTCGATCTCGTAGATATTCAAAGATTACGTCACCCGAGGCTACGTAAATACTCTTATGAATCAAAAGTGTTAAAACTGAAATCCAGAATAGACTTTTTCCTAGTTGCCAAAAATCTGACACAACATGTGAAGAAAAGCGAAATTTATCCTTCTATAGCACCGGATCACCGAGCAATTTACATTTCTTTGTCTTGGACAACTGAAAAGTCTAGAGGACCCGGACTTTGGAAATTCAACAACACGTTACTGAAAGATGAACATTATGTGTCCAAAATCCGTGAAACGTACTCCCGCACACGCGCTTTTTACGCCAATTTGGCAGACGCACGCCTTCTTTGGGAAATGTTAAAATGGAAACCAGAGCGGCAACCATTGCTTATAGTAAAAAAGAAAGCTAAAGCGACCACTAATAGAGAATTGGAAATTAGGAGACAGCTCGAAATTCTGGACCGCAATATTTGCGACAACTTTAACTCTCCCAATATCGCGCACATCCTAAATGAATATGAAGATCTCAAAATGGAACTCCAATCTATTTACGAGGAGAAAGGGAGGGCAGCTATTTTTAGATCGAAATGTCGCTGGGTCGAAAAGGGCGAACGTCCAACAAAGTACTTTTTCAATCTGGAGAAAAGAAACTACAACAGGAAAACCATCACTGAACTGCGAACAGAAAGTGAAACAGTAACAAACAACGAGTCTCAGATATTAGAAGCTATCGAAAACTATTATAGCGAATTGTACGCATCAGCAAATAATTCACAGGAAAATAATGTTGATGAATTCACCGAACATTTAAAAATTCCAAAACTATCAGATGCAGACAGAGATAGAATAGAAGGTCCATTATCTTATGAAGAATGCAAAAAAGCTTTAGACACTTTTCAAAACAACAAAGCTCCAGGAGAAGATGGTTTCACGGTTGAATTTTATATGTTTTTTTTCGATCTGCTAGGACACGATCTTGTTGCTAGTTTCAATGCGGCCTATGATGCAAATGAACTCACCATTTCACAACGAAGAGGCGTTATTACTTTAATTCCCACAGGAGATGGCTCGCTACTAGAACTTTCAAACTGGAGAGCGGTAACACTGCTAAATGTTGATTGCAAGATAGCAACTAAGGCAATAGCAAGGAGAATAGAACCATTATTACCAAATCTAGTGCACACTGATCAAACCGGTTTTATCAAAGGAAGATATATCGGGGAAAATATTAGGCTAATAATCGACATAATGGAACATACGAAGTCAGAAAGCATACCTGGCATTCTAGTATCTCTAGATTTTCGGAAAGCTTTTGATTCTCTAGAATGGTCGTTCATGATGAAAGCACTGGATATATTCAATTTCGGAACAAGTATAAAAAGATGGATCAGTACATTCTATACAAAAATTGAGAGCGCGGCGATAAACAATGGTTTCATGACCAACTGGTTTAGACCGTCAAGAGGAGTGCGACAGGGGTGTCCCCTTTCTCCGTACTTATTTGTGCTTTCCACGGAGATATTATCCAGCAAAATCAGACAAGAACCAAGTATAACAGGAATCAAAATATTCGGGCACGAAATCAAATTGAGCCAATTCGCAGACGACACAAACCTTTTCTGTGCAGATTTGATCTCCGTCGAAAATGCTTTGAAAACGGTGGGAGATTTTGGGAGGCTAGCGGGTCTCAAGTTAAACATAAAGAAATCGAAAGCAATTTGGTTGGGAAAATGGGAAAAAAACAAAAGTTATCCTTTACAACTAAAATGGTTACATAGTCCGGTTCGCCTCTTAGGAATTCATGTCTCTTATGATGAGAAGGGTAACAACGAATTGAACTTTAATCTGAAAATACGAAAACTTCAAACAAAGCTGGATATGTGGAGATCTAGAGACCTCACACTATTTGGGAAGGTACTGATAATTAAGTCCCTAGGATTGTCACAATTAATTTATTCAGCTTCAATTCTTAATGTTCCTGAAGATATCGCAAGCACAGTGAAAACAAAGCTTTTTAGTTTCTTATGGAAAAACAAAAGGGATAAAATTAAACGAACTGGGCTCTATCAGGATCTGGGAAGAGGCGGAATACGTATGGTAGACATCGACATAATGTTTAAAGCTCTAAAACTAGCCTGGATTCCAAGATTACTGACTCCAGGGAACCAGAATTGGAAAACAGTTCCTGATTATTACCTAAGAAAATTCGGAGGTTTGAACTTTTTACTGAGATGTAACTACGATGCGAAATACATAAAATCTATTCCATTGTTTTACCGAAATATTCTAGTATACTTCAGTGAATTAAAAACTCTGTACAGCTTTGATCAAGCACAAAATATAATTCTATTCAACAACAAAGAAATACTTGTTGACAGTAAAACCTTTTTTATCAGGGAATGGTTTAAAAAAGGTATCCTGTCAATACAAGATCTCTTACACAATACCGGTCAACCAATGACCTACCAGGAATTTACGAATAAGTATTCCTGTAAAACTAACTTCCTTCAATACTATCAAGTTATTAGCGCTATCCCAAAGCACCTATTAGCCAAAGCAAAATCAACGAAGCCAATTAATAAAGAGTTATATTCTGATAATAATCTTAGTCTACAATTAAATGAATCGATAACTCTATATCTGAACAAAATCAAGACTAGCGACTTCTATACGTTATTATGCACAAAAATCCACACAACAGGTCATTCTGGGCCACAGAGATGGAGCAAAGATCTTTCCTTGGATGAAGATAAATGGGAAAAAATATTCACCTCCCTAAAAACCGTCTGTAGAGAGACCAAATTAAAGGAATTTCAATATAAATTAATCCACCGAATTGTAGTCACCAAAAAGGAACTTTACCGCTCACCGCTATGGAATCAAGGAAGATGATGAATGTATATATTGTGGTGAAAAAGACTCTATTAATCATACTTTTAGAGATTGTCATTTCGTCAAGATTTTCATTCAACGGGTTATCAACTGGTTCAATATAGAAAACAAGATCAATTTCAACCCATCTAGCGAAGAAAGACTGTTCGGCATCCTCTCGGACTTACATGAAAAGGTACTAGTAAGGAAATTCAATTATACCATGTTGTTTATGAGATACTACATCTACGCCAACAAACTACACAACAAACCAATTCTCCTCCAAGACTTCGTTGGTAAAATGATAATTAAATACAGAATTGAAAAGCTATAAAATAGACATGAAAAATAACTCCTCTGACCTACTAACTATTTTTTTTTTTTTTTTTTTTTTTGTGTTTATGTGGGTGTGTGTGTGATGTACTAGAATTGTAAGTAGTGTAACCATTGTAATTATTAGTAGTACGAGCATCGTATGGATGGTATTGTCAGTATAGCCAATATTGTAAATAGTGCAAGTATAGTGAATATTGTTAGTAGTATTTAGTTTCAGTAGTGTTTAGTACTGTAAACATTTAATATATGTCTGTAAGGCAAAAAAAAAAAAAAAAAAAAAAAAAAAAAAAAAAAAAAAACAGTACCATTTATGTGAAAAGATGTAAAAGAAACAAAGAACCAAATATTGCATTCTTTGTGATGCTGAACCATCATTCAAAAATCTGAATACGACCGTTTCTGAGGTCAGACACAACTATTTTACCATCACTGAGAACTGCTGCTGACAGCGGTAAATTAAACTCTCCCATCCCGCTTCCTTCTGTTCCAAACTTAGCGAGAAACTTCCCACTCAGCTCAAACACCTGAATCCTGTGATTTTCACTATCACAAACCATCAGGTGTCCTGCCTTGTCCATGGACAAGCAGTGAGGTGTGTTGAACTCCCCATCTGCATTTCCCTTATTCCCAAATTTGTAAAGGAAGTTACCCTTTCTATCAAAGCATTTTACAGAATGATCACCTTTGTCTGATACTATAAAATAGTTGTTATGTTGGATACAGTGATAGGGTTCAGTGAAACAGCCCTCTGTGCCAAGTTTATTTAAAAACTGCCCATCAGCAGAAAAGATCTTCATTAATTTGTTTCTCCTATCAGCTACAATGATATTGCCATCACTGTTAATATGTAAACCAGAAGGAAAGTAAAGTTGGTGATCAAGACTTCCTTCTCCCCCAAAGTGGCAAAGATATCCCCCCTGTCTACTTAGCACTTGAACTCTGTGGTTACTCTGTTCAGCTACAATAATATTGTCGCCATGATACGCTGTACCAGAGGGGAAGTCAAACTCACCGTGTTGAGCACCCTTTCCACCAAAAGATCCAATATGAGTTCCATTGCTCTTAAATAAATGAATCTTATGGTTACCACTGTCACTCACTGCAATTTCATCTTGTCCATTAACTGGTACTCCCCAGGGATGCTTCAATATTTGTTCTCCAAAAGATAACACAGGTCTGCACTGTCTGGGTTTGGCTTGAACCTTAAAAGGGCTGCCACGGATATGTTCTCCATTAACCTTCACTGATGCACTGCATGTTCCTGTTTCTTTGGCAAAGTATTTGATCTTGTAAGTACCATCTTTGTTATCTTGGACTTGCACTTCGGCTGCGCCGCTATCGCCTTGACGATTACTGATTTCCAGTGTGACACAGTCATTATTATAACACTGATGACATTTCTTGTTTCTTGTTGTCACAACAAGCTGTGCTTCAAGTCCAACAATTGCCTCACTGATTCCTTTTCCATCAGCACTCGATTGTTGCGCCCTGGTATGACTTTCTTCCAGGGAACCAATTTGTTCAGTCCTTACGAGATCAAATAACTTATGATTCTTTACGAAATAAAATTCTTGGAAAACATCGTCATCACGATCACTGTCTTCTTGGTAATTTTCTTCTTGTAATATTTTGTCCATCAGCTTGTTCGGCTGCATGAGTTGAGCGCTTGTGCTTCGCTTTAAAAGCGTTTCACCATGTTCTATTTCTGATTCATATCGCGTGGCTTGTTCTACAATCCCCTCCTTTTGGTTTTCAATTTTTTGAAGAGATGCTTTTGTCCTTCGTTCCACATCATCAAACATCTCCAGTTTCTTTGCTTCAATGGCTGCATGAATGCTGTCAGCATACTCTTGTACATTTCTCTTCACACGAGCGGCTTGTTCTTGAACTTCAATAAGGCTTTCGTCAAGTTTGGTGATTTTGCTTCTCTTTGACTGAGCTCTTTTTCTCTGAGTTTCAATTGCAGATTCAACTCTTAACTTCCGCTCATTTGCAGCTTGTTCCAGAAGAATCTTTCCATGCCCATCATGATCGGTGAACGCACAAGCGTTACAAATTGCGACTTTACAAATCTGGCAAAATAACTTGATTTTTTTCTTTTCGTGGCCCGGCATTGCACAATATTCTGGCCTCTTTAAAATGTTCTCAAAGTCTTGATCTTGAAAGTCTTCTAATGCCAGGGCATAGTGATCTTTATTGGCTTTCATCCTATTGTGGAGACCAATGCACTCTTCGCACCAGAAAGCGTAACATTGGAAACAATAATGACTCTGTTTAGTTCTTTCGTCGCAATTGCCACACTTAACTCCGGTTGTGTTGCACTCCTTTATAGCTAATACATCGAGCAAGCTGTTTATACGAAAGTTTGTTGGCAAAGCTGCTAGGTTTCCATTATCGGGGACATTGAATTCCTTTCTACACTCCGGGCACGCGATTTTATCTCGTCTGCCACTCGTTCGTTGAATCCCATTCAGACAATGAAGGCAAAAACTATGCAAGCACGGCAACTGTTTTGGATCGGTGTATTTGCACATACATACAGAACATGATAACTCTTCATGAAGGTTGTTCAACAAGGTTTGAATATCCATGTTGACTGTGCTGGCGGTCGCGAAAGTGGTAAACGTGACGGAACGGCGAAAACTGTGTTGAATACATTGGAGTCTTTTGTGGGTTAGGCTTACTAGTTTTGCGCATGATAGACCTGAGATATCATATTCTAAACCAATCATAAAGGCTTCCTTGACATGTTTTGACGTTAAGTAGATTCTGATAATTGTAAAATATCCGGCAATTCTTAGAACTGAGTTCAGGGTGGGTACTGTTCCCTGACCTTTATTCAACTGTTTCACAAAATAAGTAACACTGTTTCTTCAGGTCCGTTTTTCTTAAATAGAGAGCTGCTTTTTGGTACGTTAGCGTATTTTCAACAACACGAGACAACTATAATGATGTCCAAAAGGTTTTGGACACTTTCCTTTTTTTCACGTAAGTCTTTGTTTGGATTTTGGATGTAGCCAGCAATACATATTCATAAACACCGCCTTACTAAGGTTCCCCCCGTCCTGATCAAACTTTAAGTTGAGGTCGATGTGTAACTAAGGCCTGGTTCAGACGCCGTACTTTTCATGTGCCGAACCTACCTGAATAAGTTCGACTTTGGAGCGACACTGGCGCGACATCTGATTCAGACGGCGTACCGCGTGTCGAACCTAAGTTAAGTTCGACAAAAGTTCGACAGACTCTGTCGAACTTAACGCTTTTGCCGCACCAAACTAAAACTGCCGTACCAAATTGATTCAGACGCCGCTCTTTTGCCGTACTTAATACCTCAGTTAGGTTCGGCACATGAGTGGAGCGGCGTCTGAACCGGGCCTAAGTGTTTGACTTCTAACACCTAACACTAGCCATGGGGGAGGGGGGGTTAACAAGCTCTCCATTTGGGGGAGCTGTAGCCTGTTCCAGGCTCTTAGATAGTAGGGATGACGCGTAGGCCAGGGGAGCTGAGAGTGAGGAGTCAAGCTAAGCGACAGCCGCACGTGAAAGGAGACGCCACTTCTACGAAGATATTAAATAATTTAGGTTACTATATTTCTTTCGTTCTTTTTCTTTTTTTTCCTTTAAATACATGTGCACAGAAGGCGCTCTTCAACGAGTCTTTACAACGTAATCTTTTTAATTTGAAATTGAGATTTGCAAAAAAAAAACTAAAATAAAAAAAGGTATGAAGGTCCTTAATTTAAGACGGAAACCCTGACGCTTATTCTTTCTTTCTCTTCTAATAAATAAATAAATTTTAAATAAATCGTTTCTTTACGAGAATCATCTTTTCACTCTTCAGTATGTTCTAGTTTAAATTAATTTGCGGGACTGGTTACAATCGGTTGCGAACCTACGAGCATTCTGCTCACGTGTGACTACTGACGATATCCCCCAAATGGAGGCTGGTCAAGAGCATTCGTTTGTCACTGTGATTTGACGTTTTTTCCATTGGGAATTTATATTAACATCCCGTTCCTCAAAAGGACTTAACAGCTTTTTTACCTTAAGGCAGGTTTGCAATACAGCACAATGTATGCCGGAATCAAAAGAACGTGACCCTAGATATTTAAAAACTATAAACATTGGGTGATTATTAAACCAGGACCTCCCCTGGACACACCCGCTCTCCCCAGCCATAACAGCCCTTACTTACGTCACATAATCATCTGATGACGTCACTAGCACCTGGCTGCCAGTCAATGGCGAAAAATATGCGGACGTAACAACACGAGTTCGGTGTAAGGAACTCAGCTTTGATTTCGCGCCTTTTACATTTCGAATGTCCCAAAAAGCCACAGACCTTAAGAACAAAAACAGAAGGAAGTTAGGGTGCAAGATATGGAAGGAACATTACTCAAAACCGAAGGTGTGTCTATGGTTTATCAGATGGCGTAATGAAAGAAATATGCGTGTTCTGACATGGAGGACGACAGACCTCCATATCGACCCATACTATTTGCTGTATAACACGACAAGTAGGCCTGAATGAATTAATCAAAAGAGCTATCAAAAGAATACTTGCCACAAAATGATCAGGGCCCAAAATAAATTTGAGACTGTGGCTCGTGTGACGTCTTTCCTCTTACCGGTCAAAATATTAAAAATAGTCCGATAATAACTTGAACATACTTGCCTAACAACCAAAAACATAGAGTGAAAAAGATACTTGTCCTCTTAAAACACAATGGTGTGAAAATGTATTTTTTTGTGGTTGCTTATTTACGTGCCCGGTCAAATTGACCGGCAAACCGAAAGTGTGTCCGGACATATTCCGTTGACCAGCCTTTATTTTGAGCCCTGATGGTATATCCAAACCAATTTATAAGGAAACCAAAAGGACAGAGGTAATTGTTAGAAGCGACCGTAATATGTTGGCATTGATTGTACGAAGTTTGACATCGTTCAGACCAATTGATCTTGAGGCTAGAGGTGTGTACATTAAGGTGGTATAACTGTTAAGATCAAGTGAAATATTCGTAAAATGGAATATCTGTGCTGTAGAGTGACAAAATATGAGACACTTACCCGTCAGTTGACGAAGTCAAGAAGAGATTATTGTTTAATGGATGTGTATCAATGCATTTGATAATTTTATCATGAAGACAATAACTTTGCTCTGCTAATTTGACCTTTCTGAAAGTAATTTAACAAAAATAACTGTTAGTGACGCGAAAGTAACAAAACTGAAATTACTACAAGGCGTTTGACGCGCCATTAGACCACCCCCCTAAAGATCTACACACGACAAATTGTTGTTGGCAATGCCACACTTTGTGATTGGCTAGGAAATCTCACGTCATTTTCTCAACCAATCGATATTTTAGAAACGGGAAGGAAACTGAGCCGAGTTAGCTTTCGCAAAGAATTCTGGGATCGTTACTGGGGACGCGCAGGTCAGCTATTGGCCAATTTTTTCCCTTTCCCCAGTAACAGTCCCAGAAGTCTTTGCGAAAGTTAACTCGGCCCAGTCTCCTCGTTTCTTAAGTGGCGAATGGGTCGACCCACACCGATTCCTAACAAGGTTTGTGATTGGCTGGGAAAACAATAGGGATGGTGACATAACAATGCCCCTATCCCTGAAAAAAATAGGGATGAAATAAAAGGTTTGGAAGGGTGATGGTCAATAGTGGTGAATAGACCAATTTCGATACATTAAAATTCATTCTTGGCTACGAGGCTTTGGGGATTAAGACAAGAGAACTGTATTAATTATAGCTGAGCCTCAATATGATTTCTTGTGTTTAATTCCACTAAGCCCTAAAGCCAAGTACGAATTTTAATGTATCGAATTAACAAAATTAAATGGGCTACAATTTCCCATGGTCTGTACTCTTACCGACCGTAGAAATGACGTCAAAATGTTCAAAACTCAAGTTGAACTGAACGGCCCCGGGCGAGTGGTTTCACTGCAAAGTTTTGGTCGATAAGAGAACAAACCAAGGGAAACTTTTGTCGATTTGTTTTCTATGATAACGTTGAAAGTTTTGACGTGCCTTTCTGTTGAAGTTTCTCTGAAAATCGCGCTCGCGAGAAAGAGAACAACAAATAGTCCAGTTTCGAGTTCGCTATGACCGCTGAATTAAGGAAGTGAAGACACATTTTTTACAGGCTTAGCTTCCATCTTAAGTAAATATGTTCACAAATTCTAACGAGAAAAAGACCTGTTTATTGCTCTGTCTATTGTATACAGTTATTTCGAGAAAGGTTGTCGGATAAAGTGCACGCGACAACCCCGAAAGGTATTGTTGGTTTTGAGTACACTGTTTTTCAAAGAAATTTGAAAGAATGGCAGGAGAGGTCATGGACATATGTCTGCCAGTGCTAAAGGAAAGCAACAAAATTAGGTTTGACTGGAACAGTGTCAAGAACAGTGTATTGAAAATCTCCCATATTACCTTTCGGGATTGTCGCGTGTACATTTTTTCCGACAACCTTACTTGAAATAGCTGTATACAGCTATTTTGAGAAATGTTGTCGGATAAAGTGCACGCGACAACCCCGAAAGGTCTTGTGGGTTGTTTTGAGTTCACTGTTTTTCAAAGAAATTTGAAAGAATGGCAGGAGAGGCCATGGACATGTGTCTTTGAGAGCTAAAGGAAAGCAACAAAAGTAGGTTCGACGGCTACAGTGTCAGGAACAGTGTATTGCGCATATCCCATATTATCTTTCGGGTTTGTCGCGTGCACATTTTTTCCGACAACCTTTCTCGAAATAGCTGTATTCAAATTTCAAACACTTACTTGCCGGAATTTCTGAATATGTTACTTTAAGCCGAGGCTAACCCTGTATGAATGTGTCGTTAATGTTTGTATTCAGTAATTTTTCATTCGAAACTGGTCTATTGCACCACCATCATGTCATTTCCATGCACTGTACTTTCATCGAACATAGTTCTCAACCAACCAGCGCGCGAGGAATCGCTTATTTATTGTAAAAACTGGCGTATTGACCCGCTCGCAAGTGATTTCCTGTCCCCCAATAAGCACACGCATAAAAAAAAAATATATATACCGTTTAGTTCTTGTGTCAACAACCAATACGTAGCCAGAGTCAGTAGCTGCTAACATGGTATTTGTGCTCGGGGATCCAAAGGCGAAGGACATGAATCTGGTGTAGTCATCTTCTTCGAAGGAATAAACCTAAAATTTATAAACACATTTGTGACATTTCATACTTTTGTTTGCAGGAGCGCGAAGAATGCGAGAGTAGAGTTAAGAGATGTAAAAAAGCCCGTTTCAAATGTTTGCCAATAGAGTCTAGAAGGACAAGTTGTATCGCGATAAACCGCAGTTGTACGGTTTGGTTTTAAAAGTTCCGCTACTAAATATACCACTCCGAACTCAGTTTAACTCAAAAATTACAAATATATTGCAAAAGCTGGCTAGACAGGTTGTCAGTTTTTAGAAAGTTCGACTGAATTAAAAAAAGACTTCTACAGCTAAATTTGAGCCAGATTAGAATGACTGTAAAACGACGTATGAAAGAGTACTTGGAGTTCCAAGGTACGTGCTAAAGACGTAACAAAAAGCAGACACCTAGTAGATCAAAAGCGTGCGTCCTCGGAAGACTGTGTTGAGCGATGACACGAAATTTAGGCTACATTTACACTGCACCGGACGAATTTTCGATCGGCTGAAAATTTTTACTAGACACTTTGTTCACACAGAACCGTTTAAAATTTTCGTCCTGTTCACACGGAACTTTGACGGGCTGGGCGTCTAAATTTTGGTTCGGTTTAAGTGGTTCCGTCTGAACCGAACACTGAAGCACACGAATTCTCAACCGGTCGAAAATTCGGCGTCTGATGCCGTGTGAACATTGCTGTAGAAATATTTTGTCCTACAACAAAAGCGGGCTTTTTGTCGATACTGCAAGACTTGTCATGGTGATAACAAAAATAACATCAAAAACATTTTTAAGCAAAGGAAAGAGAAACCTTGCTGGACTTTTGATAAACTTACCTCTTGAAACGCAGCAGATGTGACGTCACAACACCTGATCGTTCCATCATAACTGGCAGTGTAAAGTTTTCCGCAGTTGCTTGGATCAAACAACATACAGTTGATGGGTCGAGAATGCGGTTCATAAAGATAAACACCGTCATCGCCTTTCGATGAACCCTACAAAATCAAAGCAAAAGGTAAGAATTTAATCATAGAAAATAATGAGATAGCAATGTTGGGTTACAAGTGACTCATGCATGTCACACCAAGGTGTGGCTCTGGTGACTTTGTCAGGTTTTCATAAGAATTTTCAAACAAACATTTAAAGACTATTTTAGGGTACGTTCTCTGGAAGTGGCTTATTTTTTTCGCGTAGTCTTAGTACGGAGTCCTAAGTATGGAGAGGATAATCTTGGAATCTAATCTCCTAACTTTGAAAAGAACAGTAATGGCAGATTTGAGGAGGCCTCAATTGTGAAACAAAAAGACGTTGAAATCGACAACGTGAAATATACACTGTAGCAGTAAACTTTACTAACGGTCTCCGTTTAAGATTTAAGACAACATAAAGGATTCATACAGTCATAGGTTTTCGCTGAAATTCCAGCTACACTCCAACTAAACATAAGATCTAACACTCTCGATAACTAATATTTAGGAACAAGGTCCCCAATGTCCGCGCAAAATTTTTTGTAAGGCAGTCCATCAACGTAGAGATGAGTACTTTTGAAATGAATGCCAAAATGTTCTTCCAACGATTTATGCCCCGCCACTAACAGCGAAGTGACCTCAAGTATGAGTTTTAATATAGTACGAGCTTAATATAGTCACTTTTCTTAGACCTTTTATTATAAAGGCCTGCTCTATCATCTAACAGTGAGGGGAAAAAATGATAGTCCTGGGCCAACTACAAGAGTTTTGAAGATAATACGAAAAACCTATACGTTAACAAAACAAAATGGACTGGTTTGTTGGCTAGCTCTCGCATTTTAAATAGAATATTTGACCAGTTCTGGACCCAAAAGGTACTGTAACTTTGGAGATACGGGCCTCGAGAGCCCCAAGACGCGCTAGCCGAACTTAAATCTAAAGGTCGCTAATGTCCTCTTTAATAAGACCAAAAATGCAAATCGAAACTACTTTTCTTCCTTACCACATCCCAAATGCCTATTTTGCCCCACTTGTCTCCAGCGAACACCAGGGTCTTACATCTTGCAGGATGAAACGCTATTGAGAAGATCCTATCTGGAACAACCTTGGCTACATGTCCTTCTCTGATTTTTAAGCGTTGCAAAGTCTTTTTGTAACTGCAAAATAAAGAATTGCAAGGAAAACTCATAGGCAATGATTGCAAAGAAACCATGACTCGAAAACCAGGAACTTTATAGCAAGGTCATGTTAACTCACAAGAGGTAACTTTACAGCAAATTTATACGTTGAAATGTGGTATCCTCTATGTTCTTTTTAGCCAAATCAACTTTGATGGAAGCAAGACCCGGTCAAATAACCAAAAATTGTCAGTAAAACACTTTATATGACGGCCTTTGTCAAGATACTGAATTAAAAAGCTGCATGTTTTCCTATTTGATGTGCTGCATTTCATAAGATCAATTGTCTTATTGCTGAGACAACATACAAGATTTGTAAAATCGTGTTTGTTATCTCAAGAATAAAACACGTACCTTTCTACATCTGTTTCTTTAACTTCATCATTTTTTTCTTCCGACTTCTGCAACTTCTTTATCAACAGAATACAATCATAGTCAACATGGATTTACACAGTACTTTCATGATTTCTCAAATTACACATGCTTAAACAAAAACGTAGAAAGCTGAATGGGTTTTGCAATTATACATGACCGTAGTTCAGAGAGATAGGAAGCAGGGTGAGATCAATTTTTCACTTCTTAATGAAAAAAAAAAAAAAAAATCTTTAAAGGGAATATGGGTAATTAAGTTATGCCTTTTGGTCTTAGCCATGCAGCGTTCACATTTTGACTTCTTAGAGAAAGCAAAATAAATATTTTAAGGCAGGGCCAAAAGGAAGAAGGATACTAAGTTATTAGTTTCACTTGTTAGTTTGATGAGCTTACATAGCAAAAAGGTGTCTATTTTTATGTCTTTTAAAGCGTCGTGATGAAAAATAACAGATAGAGTTCTTGACACAAAAAAATTAATAACAAAGAGTAGTGGCCATAACAATATAGTGTACAAGTGAACCTACTACCATATTGGCAAGGACTGTTAATTCATCAGTAAACTCCTGTGCCTCTGTTTCTTCAACATCATTGCAAGGCTTCATTTCCAAGAGGCCAACCTTTCGTGGCTGGAAGAGTAAAAGAGATGATAGGGAATTGTTCAGCTTAATGACACAGTTGCTCGTCTACTTTATTTGACTTATTTAGATAGGGATGGTAGATGAAATATAATAAAAACGATAGTGTTCAAAGGCAAACAGTTACACTGATCAAAATGCAGAGGGTTTAAAAATACAACAGATTCATCTTCTGCAGAGATTAGTTTTGAAACTGTAAGACTGCTAGAGATACCAGTTTCAAGGTGTTTTGAAAAAATATCGTTCTTCTATGCTGTTTTGTTTTCCTTGAGTTTTTAGTTTTCACTTTCTGTTGACAACTGATACAACATTTTCAACAATGACTCCAACGTTTGTGGAAAGGGAAACAAACTTTTTCCCTCAGAATGCACGCTGTCACTAAGCGCTGGGGGTAGTGTGAGCCCTGGTTACTTCCATAGAAAACAAATAAAAAATCGAATCAAAAGAACTTCCTAGTTCTACAATATTCCCCTCCTACTAATTCCATATACCCAGCACCTTGAAATTTTAGCAACAGCCCTGAGAAGGTGAGAGAAGTTTGTAAGCCCAGAGGACAACATTAAGTTTGAAGTCAGCATCTCATGGAAAGAACACAGTCAAATATACTCCAGCCTAAATCTAACTACAGCCTTTCATCATAAAAACAAACACAGGTTCATGTGAAGATATTCTCATTTTATGACAAAAAGTGGAGGCATCCCAACTAGTAATGCTTTGGCTTTCAAGAAAACAAAAAGTACACTATAGTTTAAACTCTTGAAAAAAATTTCATTGCAGTTGACAACATTTAAACATACAGCGGGTGCAGTACATCTCGCAAGATACAAGGCAAGGTGAAATGCAGTGTAAGTGTGTGGAAGCAAATTTAAGTCTTGATCATTACAGCTTTTATCAATTACCGGTAGTTTACTTACACGTTCAGTGAATTTTTTTGATGGTACAACTGACTTAATATTCTTTAATCCAACAGCCCTTATATGGCGGGGAAAGTATTGAAAAGTTCTCTAAACAAGAAAAGCCAAATGATCAGCAACTATGGTTGCAAAAGGTATTATTATTATTGAAAATTATTATTGTGATACTGTGGGTACAATATACATCTCTCTTTGTTTGTTTGGTTGGCTGCCGGCAAGCTACCAGCTGAGGACTTACAGTTGGAAAACAGCAACAAACTAGAAGGAGATGAGGACAATGACAGAAGAGGATCAACAATTGCCACTCCTCATACTTTCTAGAACACTTTCAGCATACATGGAAGACTGCAGAAGCTGGCAAAAAAGGGCTGTAAGTAACAGAGTTTAAAAAACTACAGACAAGTGTGAAACACTTTTTGTAAACTTGCACTGCATCGATAATATTTTCTTCCTACTACCAGTAGTACCTAATAGTGATGCTACCTAACATTAGCTAGTGCTAGTGGTATCAAGTACAGCACTCCATTTATCTATCTGGTTATAGTAAACCAAAGTGGTTTGCCTTAAAAACAGTGATTTTCACTCACTGATTACTCCATAATTTTTTTTTGTACTCACATGTTCATCAACAGGTTCTTGTTTGATTGGTAAATCAGGAAGAGTCACACCATCAGGGTCCTTATTTCTGAGGCGAAGTGACTGTCGTGTGGGTAGCATGGGTGCTTCTCTAGGATTTTTTTTAGGTCTGCAATCAACATGGCAGAGAGGTTTGCACGATAAATAAAGTGTACCATATTTTCGCAGTGCCTCAATTCACTCGAACATACATTTTGTATAACGCATTTCTTATCTAGTACAGTCAACTCTCTTTAAGACCTAGACCTTTGGAATGGCACTAAGTATCCATCTTTGAGAGATGGCATGCCCATCTTATGGAGAGTCAAATAACAGGAGAAAAGAAAGACAGGATCACTGTTCAAGGTGTCCGTTAAGAGGAAGTCGACTGTATTTTTGTTCTTAACATCATTGCTGTGATGTAAAATGCAAGAAAAGTAAATTAAGTTATACATCAGGGATGTTATTACCCTTGCCTGCGTGCAGACGTCTCCTATTTCCTTTGTTGCACGTGGAAAAGGGACGTCTGCGTAACGCCGTCGCTAATCGTGTTCCAGCGTCCCGCTGGCAGGGTATTCTATTTCGCATAAATTGTGAAATAATATCCGGTTAGAAATAAGAGTTGACAGGCCAAACAAAACATCATAAGCTCGTGAGACGGGCGAAACGTGACCTCGAGAGTCTGCTTGAACAGAGGTTTTTCTTCTTTTCTCTCTCGCGCGAAGATTACTAGCACTACACAGTGAATGTAGCATTCTAACCTTTGACTGAGTAAATCTCATTTTTGCCGTGCTAGGTCTTCCATTTAGAGGTCATGAAGCAGGTTTGTTACATGCATACTGAGTAATCATTTCCTGTGGTTTATTCTTCTGTGGCTGTTCCCGATTTGATTTCAGATGCAGTTGTAAAGTGTTTAAATTTTCTTGACCTCTGTTTGTTACAGCTAAGTAAAGATTTTAGTTTCTTTGGCTGGCTTTCTCCGAAATGCCTGCCTGGTGCGAAGTCCACGCCGCTTTTGTAGTTTTCTCAGACACTGTTTACAAATATGATGTGATGTGTCATGCACAGTAAATTGTAAAGAAATAATTTCCTCGTACACGTTAAATTTTCCGCGGCCCCGCACAAGATTTCGATCGCTCTGCTTTTCGATCGACCAAAAACACAGCACACAATCGCACATGTTTTGATTTGTTTTGGTTAGAAAACCCCGCTTACATAAATCATTTGAATCACCGCATACATTATCAGACCACATTCGATAACAACCAATCAGCGTTAAGTCAAACAATGCGCACTGTGTGTCAGCCTATCACAGCATGTTCCCAAGATCTTGGGAACCCAGCAGGACGCTGGAACACGATTAGCGACGGCGTTACGCAGACGTCCCTTTTCCGCGTGCAACAAAGGAAATAGGAGACGTCTGCACGCAGGCAATTGTTACCCTGACCTTCCCCAATTAAGCAAATGAAAGAAACGACAAAAGACAAAAGAGGAAAAAAAAAAAAATATATATATATATATATATATGAAGAATGACCATTATCCTTCAGGCTGCTCCACATTGCTATAAAATCAAAATGGACAGCCATATATCAAACCACTTATTGATATTTGACAGTTTAGGAAACTGCAGTCAAACTTTTACACTCAAGGTCTGATTCAATAAAAAACAGATTTTAGATGAAGGGCTACTTCTGAAAGCATTCCTGTAAAATGTATTAGAAATTAAAATATTATTGCAAAGACAAACTCGTGAAATTGCATGTTACATGTAAGCCCAACCACTCTTGACATAAGTTAAGAATGTCTCTCACAATGAAAATTTTGAATAGAGTCACCTAGCAAGTCCTCTTTGCTTGACCTTTGAAGTGGACTGTGGAGTCATGGATGTATTAAAATCAAACTTTGCCTGCAAAGAAAGCCATATAAATGGTGAAATTACCGTAAGTCATGAGTATACATACTCAATAAAACAGAATGCTAGGAAACAGACCAAGCACATAGGAAGAGCAGCCAGTGTTTCCTGACTCTTTGGTCTTTTTTTATCATTCACACATTGTTAGGTGCATGGCAAGGTCTTGTTTGTGCCATGCACCCAATTGTCTCTGTCACACACTGACTTATAATCTATAAACATTGTTCTCATTGGCAAAAATTGCCCTAAAAGCAACGAAACTCACTAAGAGGGCCCACATGTATATAAAAATGAAAGTTCACTTCAGATGACAGTAAATAAGGTTGGGTTAGAAAAGGCAAAAAATGAAACAAAATAAAGTCGAGAACCTACATTGTATCTGAAAACATAGCATTAATTAAGCACACATGTGCAGCATAGCTCTTGCACAGAGAGAATCTCTACTGCTCAGTTAACCGTCAATTCCCTGGAATCAAAAAACATTCCAGCAAGTTTACCAGGTCTTCTCGTAATTGGTATTTAAAGTATTTGTTTGTACCTGAGTTAAGTTTAGTCCATCAAAGAAAGCTTGATTTCTTCTGATATTCTCCAGCCGCATTTTTTCATAATCTGACAAGCCATCATCATCACTTTCCTATACATGTAAGAATCAAGTGTCATGACATTTGTTTTCATTTAAAAAGTTGTAGACGGAATCCATCAGGAAATTGAGTAATTTTAATTCTCAGTTGACAAAACCCTTGTATCAGAATATTTTCAGCCATATTGCATTCTTATTTACACTTTTCAAGGGCTATAGATGTTATTAGTTATCTGTAATTACACCAAAGACAATTTCTTATGGGAACCCAAGAAGATAAATTTCAAATTTCATGGGAATAGAGAAAACACAGGTAAAATCGTCATGCATAAAATTTCATCGAGAAAAATTCAAGCTTTTGAAGTTTGTTTCTCGCTCTCCCATAACAACCTTTTCCTTGGAGTTATTTCATATATTTTATTTCATTTATTTTTTTTAGCATGAAACGATCTGAATGGTGGTAATTGACAATAGCAAGCCCATACGTCCAGCTGTCTGTTCAGGGGGACGATATGTTCAGGCTCATTTCCCAAACAGTGGCTGGTAATTGAGCCTACCCTGAAATGCAAATTTTCGTTTTCCATTTTAGTGTCCAATTTTTGCCTTTTGTTTATTTGTTCATATCCTGGAGAAAACTTCTTTCCAAAGTGAGTTTCAACCTGTTTGCAAGAGTTTGCAAGAGTTTGATAAAATGACGTCTTCTCTTGAATGGTAAATACTAACTATAAAAATAATATTGAAAATTATCTTTTCCGGTTTTAAGAATCGTGATGACCTTGAGCTACATGTGTATAAAAATAACAGTATTGCAATCTACAGGAACTACATGTAAATTGAGAAAATAGTTTAAACAGTGATTTTATTTTTTATAAATCTATAATTGTTTATTACAAAAATAAACAATTATAAATTGATGAAGTGACACCTAACCATTTTATGATAAAATATTGCGGGGAAATCATAAGATTTGTAAATTCATCCTGTTGGTCAATTTTTCGATACTGGCTATTTCATTACCTCATTGACTGCAGATTCATCCAGTTTGTTGGGATTTCTGTTCTCAATTAAGGACTCCTATTGGAAACCATCAATACATCAAATTAACACAAGTGACTACACTATATTACTCACACTTCGGGATGAGCTACAACAGGCCCTCTGCTTTACAAAGAAACTTTTAAGAAGAACTTAACATTCAAGGGGGTGTTATATTATAATAGGTTGGTTTATTCGAGATTGAAAAATAATGTATTAAATAAAATAATAAACAATCTTTATTTACTCTTGGCAGTATATTTATAATGTGAAGGCTAGTGGAAGAAAGTAACGTAAACAATTGAAACAAAAATATCAAATAAACATAACATTACGTTTAGAATTCCAACTGGCATGAGGCGAACCAGATGACTACAGGGCCGGGTTGTTCAAAGCTAGGTTACCGTAACCCAGGGTTAGTGTGAAATTTGAATTCAGACAAGAAACCTTAAAAGAGAATTCAGTTTAATTCTTTTTGTACACAGTTTGGTAATTGGATGAACTAAAAAGAATAGAGAAAAATATCTGAGAAAATCCTTTTGAAAAAAGGATAAAGAAGCCCAGACTAAAATTTAACCCTGGGTTAGCCTTTATCGGCCTTCAAACAACTGGGCCCAGGTATATCAACAAATGTGATCAAAGAGTAGATAAGATAAGATAAGATAACTTTATTATGTCACTTCAGGATATCTCTATTTACAAAAATCTATTTATAAAATTATTATCAACATGTGATAAAAATCTAAAACGTATCATTATAAGAATACAAAAGTCACAAAAATACTAAAAGCAGAGGAAGACAAAATTAAATATTATAACAAGATATTTTGCCGCATGGCAACATCGCAATTGGCTAGTAAATAATTGGCATGTTCACTTTTATCGCTTATTCTATTGAAGATTTCTTACGATAATTTCCAGAATCCATTAGGCAAATCAGGTTTAGATAACTTAACAAGGTCAAGACCAGCCTTAAAGGCATTGATACTTGTTTAATTTCGCACGCGTAGTGGCAGCTGGTTCCAATATCTGAAAATGCTATCATTAAAGAAGTTATGCACTGATCCCTAATGGAGTTGAACAAGAGAGACAGAGAAACAAATTCACCATAGGTTCATGTTTGTATACTACATGTCCCTGGGCTCTTTTATAACCTTCATCAAAGAGGACTAGTATTATTAGCTTGCATTAATACAAATGAGGTTGTGGATGGATTATGCTACAAATACCTATTGATCTTGGGAACTGCCTAAACCATTGGAGGACCACTTCGACAAAAAGGAGCAAATCTGATCTTCGTGTAGATCATGATTTAAATTCCTTATTTTTAGCTTGCTGATCAGCCTTACACATCACTTTAAGTTACTTTCTGGTACCATGCCAATACGGTCAGTATTGACTGGTTGAATACTCTTGAAGAGAACTATAACTATTATTATGTTATGCAGTTAAGGGCTGGTCTGTTAGTGTGGGAAAGGTGGGTGGTGGTGGGGGGGGGGTAACAGGGGGTCCAAACCTCCCTACCTCCTATGCCTTGCATCCCCAGTTCCCGCTGATTTTTTATTTTGTTTTTGGCTTCCTCCCTGCTCCTTGTTTTCATTGCAAAAAATTAGGCATTGTCGCAAAATTCTCCCACTTCCAATCCTTTTAGTACTCCCACCTCTGGCTCTTTCCTCTCCCATCTCCCATACCCCTCCTGTCCCCTATTTCTCCCAGGATTCCATTCCCTGTCTTCCCCCAACCTGTCAATATGAGACACCAAAAATGGTTGCAGTCTACATAGCAGCTAGGACACAACTTAGCACTAAGCTGGGCCTTTACTGCACTTTTCACAAACATGCGAATTCTGAAGTTCAAAAGCCAACTGACGATTGCATTTTTCGCTGCCGTCAATCATCTTAGCGGACCTCTTAGGAAACAAAACTTTACTTTAACGGGTTCAAAAGGTCAAGGTTTGTGATTTGTGATTGGTGGATTTCGATACATTTTGTGTGTTTCTGTGTTTCAAGGTTCGTTGCTTGGGATCGTAATTATGATTGACGGCAGCGAAAACACAACTGTGAAGGCGGCTTTTGAACTTTAGAGTTTGCAGGTTTGTGAAAATAGCAGTAAACCCAGCAGCCTACAGAAACAATGGTGTAAAAACAACGTACTCCTATTAACAGACAACCTAACAACCTTGCCAGACGTTATCTCCATTCATGACTTAGAAGGAAACTTTGGCTGTTGAAAGTTCTATAAAGTAAAAGCCCTGGTGATCACATTTTTTCAACAGACAACTCCTACAGGTTTAAACCAGTCCCCGGCAAAAGAGCTGGTACTCCTTCTTTAACTTCAGTCTCTTAGCTTAAATTTCTATTACTTTATATATTGTTCATTTCATTTTCAGCATTTGTTATTTTGCAACAACTGCTTAATAAACACGTTAACCCCAGCTATCAGATCGAAGATTATGTAATCGAAGAATTCAAGGATCAGTTTCTAAAAGTAGCGAATTCGCAGAACAACAGTTAAACACATCAACAGAGGAAAATATTACCTAAAGATAAATCAAGATTAAGTTAAGACATCTTACCTCCTCAATTCGTGCGGTAGATCCTCTGGTTAATCGCTTTCCAGGAAGCCTTTCATTCGAAGCAGGAGAATTAAAGATGTCGTCCACAACAACATCGATTTGTCTGACCTTCTTTGATCTTGCTGATTCCGATGGACTTTCAGAGGGTTTCCTTTTTGACATGTTGATCAAGGCCTTTCAAAGCAATCGTCTGATTCTATAGGAGTGCTCTGCTAGGCTGCAAATATCACTGAACGGCGCGCGTTCTATTATTGGAACGAAGTGACTGACTGTTTCGCGCCAATTTTCGCGAGATTCACCGTGATTCACCGACACCTTGGCTCACCCTCCCACCCCTATTGAGTAGAAAATATCCTCGGTATTCTTTTGAAGAATAATTCTTGATTTACGTTTCTTCGCGTATCAAAAATATACTTAAGTTGATTTTTTTTCATTTTTTCTATCTCTTATTACAAAATTTATCGAGAAATTTAGTAAGCGAGACAATTCTAAGTGGATAATTACAAAACCACTTAGGTGACAGTAACCTGGGAAGGGATTATATCGATGACGACATTCTAGCAGGCGTGGTTGCTAATTACGCTTTAGTAACGGAGTAACAGAGTTCGTTGTTAGCTTTGCGTCAAACATTTGCATATTTTTTGTGCTGAAGAATACATACAACGTGAAGGCTTAATTCCTTGATGTTATAATCCATGCTTTGTGGCAATCTACAACAGAATTTTCCTGGAACTTTTTCTCATTTTAAAAGATCAAGAATTATCTATAGATGTGCAGATAAACGGATGTCGCGTGACATGTGCGCTACAACACTCACAACTGCCATGGAATTTTCGAATGGAGTAAATTGCTGACTTTATTATTTTCTCAAAACGTTAAGTTGTGTTTTATCTATAAATGAGGCTAACGACAGCTTGTGATCTCAAGCACGAATACGATTTCTACGTTTTTTGGCGGCATGTAGAATCAACGATGGCTTGAACTCGCAAAAAAAACTTGGCCTTTCTGATCGACTGACGTGAACTCAAAAGGGAAAATGCAAAGCTCAGAAGCTGTGAAAGGTGTACTTCAGGATACACATCTATTAAACACAGGTTTTGGCCGGCCTGAACCTACGAGGACTACGCAAACTACTAGACATCGCGCAAGACCCGTATCAGGTAGGCAAAAACTTGTAAAGCGTCAAACACTTGTACTGTAATGTGTACTTCTAAACAAAGCTTATTATCGCAAAGTTTGGATTGGTAAAACGTATTGTGCAGTTGTAATCTAAAAGTCGTTAAGCCGGGGGTGTTTGTTCACAATAAATATTTGTAGGATTAACAGTTTTTTAACAGTATAATGCTGTGAATTAATCCTTTTACCCTTGCCTTTTTAAAATTAGAAAGAAACTAAGTTTTCTAATTGATAGGTAAGTATAGAAGACCGACGGGGCTAACAACTTTTGTTCATTTTCATGTGTCCCATTTGCTGCATTTGAGTTTATTTTGTGGGGCATTAACTTCCAAATGACGGAAATTCTGCGATGCCGCCCCTAGTAAAAGGCTATGTTCACAATATACTGCAGTAGCTCTTGCGCCGACATGAAACCATACTGGATAGGGCTTCTCTTCACATATCTTGACTCAATATTTCTGTGCAGTGCTGATCCTGAAAGTGGATCATCACATATGGGATAGGTTTCTGCCACTCTTTGCAGCAGTGTGAACAGGTATAATTCCGACTACAGCAGAGGTAAATACTTAGGCATGAGTACTGGTCCCCATCCTTGGCCAACTTCTCTGGTAAAATGTTTGATGTGTATGAACGACTTGCTCCAGTTCTGTGCCTTGTTTACAAAGTACCAGATAGCATTTCATGTTGGTACAAAAAGCTATATCTGGTACAGTATACTGTAGATTTTACAGGTCAAAATTAAATTCAGATTATTTTTTAACCTAGGTTGATTCTTAATTTCCTTTGTCTCCTAGCCCTAATTCATGAATAACAAGGGCTAGGAGACAAAGGAAATTGAGAATGTGTAGCTCCGGAAAATATCAAATATCCATACTCCCCCCATGGAAAGGATTGGAAATTCCTGGGGGTTGGGGGGTTCTCAAAGGCCCAAAAATTTAAGTAAATGTATGAAGCTTGACTGGAATTTCCAGAGAGGTGGGGGGGGGGGGGTCTAGGGAAAAATCCCTTCCTTGGGGGAGGTATGGATAATTTTTGGAACCACACAATCAACCTAGATGAAAAATTTTTGACCTGAGTTCAATTCTGACCTTTTAGGCATGCATCTTGTGCGTCTTGTAGGCATGCGTCTTGTGCATCTGGAAATCACCCAGGGGCAGACTATAAATAACCGTATAAACTAGCTTGGTGTTCCTTATTATCATAAAATTTAGGCTAGCACAATGGACCTCTTATACTACTGCCATGGTAGGAAACGTAGGCCATCTGAGTGTCTTAGATGGTGACTTTTCAATTTAGAAGAACAGAAATTTATATGATCTCAGTTCTTAGTGGCAAAAGCTTCTCTTAAGAGCTCTGAACTTAACAACAAAACAAAACATAACATTCCTCCAGAGAAACATCACCATTACTCTTTTGTGTTAATGATCTGGTTGTCTTATTGCACAGGCAAGTTGTACAAATGTAGAATGTATCCAGGCACAAAAAGATGTTGCTCTTTTCCAAAGGGACAAGTGAAATTGTTAAGAAATTTTTGGTCTGTGTACATGTACATCTGTACTGACCAGTATCTTCTTACATTAAAATTAAAAATTGCAAAACTGATTTTAGTCTGTTCAGACCTGATCATTGCTATTTGGATCTCTCTTATCTACAGCACCCCCAGCCAACCAGCCTCGTTGGAGATATCCAAACTCTCCAGAGCCTAAAAGAGCAAGAAAGTTTCACGTGAGCCTCAATCACACTCCATTTGAAAGTAGAACCAGCCAAAAAGCTCCATATGCCCCTAGAGCCACTATAGGAGGTAGCACAACACTACGGGGAAAGGAATTCTCTCCAGCAGTTTACAATTCCCTCAGTGATCCTCATTTGAATCCTTACTTTTCCAGAAAGTTTGGAAAAAGTGCTTCTTTGAGGGAATCAGGGGTTTCAAAGTCAAAGGTGTGTGATTATAAAATAAATAGCTGTTTAGTGTCCTGAGTCACCTAAGCTAACACCTTAATCTACAATGTACATACACATGTGCATGTTTGATACATATACCGTAAGTTATGTTATTTTATACATGTACGTACAGCTGTATGTCTAGCCCAGGAATTTTGGCTTAGGGGGCGGTGGTTGCAGTACTCCCATAAATTAATTTCAAATAGGTGCTTGCCGCCCAGGGTCTTAAACCCTGACCCTGTTTAGGAATGAACCCAAAAATTGCACCCTATTCAAGAGAAAACAAAAACTAATAATTTAATGACAACACATAAACCTTTCCAAATACCCTGAGGGGTACAGTGGAAGCTCTATTAACAGACACTTTCATTAGGAGACAGCTCTATTTGAACATGTACAGCAACCTTCAAAAAATCCCATGACAACTCCCATATAAACTCTGTAGTTTTACATTCCCGTGATTAAGTGGACATTCCTGTAAGCAGCTGTGACCGGACACTTGCAGGGTTTCGGGTTTGACATTGGCTTTGTTTTTAGGCTTCCATACACACAGACTACACAAAATGAAATCTTATTCTCCTCTGAATCTGTATTTTAATAAATGAACTTCAAATTGCTGTTCATCACAATGAATTTTATATCAGTTTCAGCTATTGCTTTTTTTTCACAGGTTATACATATACATTGTAAGCTTGTTAGTTGTAACAATTATTGACAGTTTATATTATAACTGTAGAGTGGATGGTTTGCATGTCTCTATAATTCCGATAGCTATGTTGGCTTGAGTTGTATTCTCCTTGTATGGTCACCCATGCCAAACAGGTTGAAGGGTAGATGCCAAATGAAGACTGTTAATTGCTCAGGTCCAGGTGGGGGTTGGCTAATGACCCACTCTTGTAAAGGACCCTTATTACACCAAAAGTAGTGTTTCCACTGTACCCTGGGAGCAAAGGCAAAAATCACTGTTGACAATAGAGTCAGATGGAGAAAATTACATGTATAGTAGTTCCTTGGGTTGAAGGAGGACTAATGATGATGATGATGATGATGGTGATCATTATAATTATTAGGAAGTATGTTAAGTGGGTGCATTGTATAGGTACAGTACGTTAATTCATGTACCTAGCTGTCATCCCAAGGGATGCGATTATTGAGCCATTTGGTCTGAAAGTGTGTTGAAAAGTATCAGGAATTTCGTACTTCTTTGACAATGATTTAAGTGATATGAAACATTTTTAAAGAGTTTTATGGTTTTTAAACAATTTTTTACCATTCATTATTTTACCAAGATGGCTATTTAATACTAGATATCCCTTTATTTCCATCAGGGAAGAAAAGGAAGTAGCAGTAAGACAAAGAAAAAAGGTAAGAAATAAATAATCTAGTGTTAAATTTTTGTTCTTTACCTACCCTCATTGGCCCCAATTGTCTTTCCTCTGCCGTTTACTTTGAAAATTATTTTAACACTTCTAAACTTAATTTCCTCTTTTTTGCTGTTTGTTAAAGGAGTAACTTACAAAGTAGTGGTGAAAACGGGAGCCAAGAAAAATGGTGGCACAGATGCGAAGGTACTGTAAACATCTGTACTGTATGTAACTTAGCTTGCCGTGGGTTTATGTACCTCATTACCTGACACTTGTGGATGGATATGGCTTCACACAATCTTAAAATTAAACTCTGCTTTTCACTTGCAATTAGATGATTGTACTTTTCCAGGTCTGCATGAGCAGATTATCCACTATTGTTTTATGAAAATAATGTCTGAAAAAGCGTTAATGAAAAACTGGTATTTGGTCCAGGGATTCTAATGCATTGAAACAAAATGGTTACAGTAAATTCCCAGGACTTTTTGGGTAAAGCGCAAACTTCTCTTTTACATTAAAAAAATCATTAATCCTGGGAAAGTATTATTTTAAAAAGCTGCTTTGTTGTATAGAAAGTATATTATCATATAAATAATATAAATTCTCATTATCAGACAAATGTTTGTTAAGGTTATTTTTTAGGTCCCTGAAAAAAGGAAAATAAAAGAAAAACAACATTTTCTCAAAAGCAAACTGCCATTAAGTAAATAATAATAATAATAATAACCTTCTTATATAGCGCTGTTTCTCTACTGAACCAACAGCGCTTTACAACAGTGAATGATAAAGAAAACTAAGTAACATAAAAAAGCCTGAAAAAATGTAAATGATGTTAATGCTACTACAAGCACTAACTTTTTGCTTTAAAATAATCAACACCTCTGAAATTCATGCATCATCTACTAGCATTCATCTTCTGTTGAAATTCTGAAATCTCACTTCAGGTTTTTGCTGAATTTCGAGGGACAACAGGTAAATTTACTCGACACCTCACACACCAAATGGATTCTGCTGTACCATCAGCTTTTATTGCTACCCTACCACCCTTCCAGTTCCACTCAGGAAGCACAGAAACCTTCAACATTAAAGGACCTGATATTGGAGAGCTCATCCAACTCACTGTACAGGTAATGGCGATGAGTAAAAATAATGTGCGCACATGCTGTTCGTTATCATCTTTTTCCATTCTTTTAGTTTTGAAACACATGAGTCAGATCTAAGATTTTGATAAGGGGTCACCTCAGATGCAAGGGATTAGATGGGGTGAAGTGTACACTATTTGGTATGAAAAGGAGAGTACAAGGTTAGTTAGGAACCCTGGCCTGTAGATGTGCCCTTGAGTAAATTATTTTCCTTTGCATACAGCACTTTTAACTCATTGACAAAATGATGAGCTTAGGAGCAGAAGTCTTATATATCAAAAGTCTGACATTTGAACTGGGCTCAAGAGAAAAACTTACTGACCTCCATATTTACTTACGATACTATAATTATGGTGGGTTGGAGAAGTAAGAACATACACTTTAAATCTGAAAGCTGCTTTAAGACTTGAGCACGTATTAATAAATTTTTGACCCAAGAGCAAATCAAAGAAAGCAATGGAAGTATTATGCCATGTTACATATATCACTTTTACAGTGGAACTGTTGCTAAAGTGTAATCACTGTTTGCCCTGCATATAGCGTGCTTACATGGGCTCTAAAACTGGCCAGCTGCAAGCCTCTTCCTAAGGTAACTCCCTCCAAAGCCAATAATTTTCTTTGAAACTTGTTCACAGTTGGTATTGTATAAATTTCTTGTTTTGATCTGTAGCATGACGGCAGAGAACGCAAACAGGGATGGTTCCTTGATGAGATCCAGGTGACAGATCCTAAAAAGCCTCAAACCTGGACATTTCCTTGCTACCAGTGGCTGTCGCTGTATGAGAGTGACTGCCAAATACGACGCAGTCTAAAACCATTGGTTCATAAAAAGTCGGAGAAAGTTGGTATGTGTAGCTACATGCACCTAGATTTTATACAGTACATGTGCAGTCAAACCTTATTAATATGGACACTGAGGGGGCCATAGAAAGTCCACATATTAACGGGGTGTCTGTCTTAAGTGGTTTGAATTTAGAGAAAATTAATGGAAGGTCTATCTTTCCCCAGGGACAAAGCAAATCACTGCAGTGTATGTTTCATATTCCAAGAGTATGTGTTGGATATGAGATAGTAGATAGCCAACGAGGCGCATAGTGCCGAGTTGGCTATCATCATCTCATATGCAACAAGCACAAGTGGAATAAAACGCCCACAAATATCGAGAATTATTCCTGACTTTATTTGTAAAAACAACCGATTTTCAGCTTGTTTTTAATTTTGAGCAGACGCGGACAGTTACTATATTTGGAGAGCATAGTATAGTGGCTCATATACCATGATGGCTAAGCCAATCAGAGCTCTAGAATTGCATTATCCAATGATTCAGTTTTTAATGATGTAATTTACATTGTCATTTCCAACACGTTTTATCATGCCACATGAATAATTACAGCTGCTTAAATGTAATGGAAACAAATAAAGACATAAACCTGCATGCTTTTTTTTCTGGACAGTTTATGTGATAGAAGTTTACACTGGTGATAAAGCAGGAGCTGGTACTGATGCTCATGTGTTTGTTACTCTGTTTGGTAAAAGAGGACAGACCCCCAAAACACAGCTTATCAGCAGGTGAGTGTGTTCCTTCACTCCTGATCAGCTTCAAATTTCTTTCATATTTTCAACTTGAAAACAGTTTGCAATTTGTAATGCTGTCCTATTACACTGTCCTATTGGTGCTGAAATCAGGCAGTTGATAGCCAATAAGATTTAAGAATTTTGTTATAGTTATGATTAATAATTTAATTTTAAATTTTAGACATATTATGATCGACTCCCCTCAGGCCTCACAAAAAGCGTGAATTCCATCTTGTCCTTTGGTCAAGCAGGTGTCACATTTTTCTTGCCACGGTCACTTCTTTCTCGTCTTAGTTGATGATTCTGTTAATGGATGGCTTACTTGGGCTAAGCGTGCTTTTGGCTATGCTTTAAAACTTACTTGCCCAGCAAGAAAATCTACTTTTCCCGCACTACCGGACGGAACGTTTTTCGAGCCCTGCTCGGGGCTTATCAAGTACTGAAGTAATGAGTAAGAGACCACCACACCGGGGACTATGTCCCCTACTTTTTACAAACAGTGTGTAGGTTCTTTAGAGTCTTACAATAGGCCACTTGCACTAAGAGGTCACGTAACCAATGCTTCTTTTTCCAATAAGTTGGAATCTTTCTGATGCCAAAAATTGACAGAGCCCTGTACGGATTAGGTCTGCAGCCTTGGTGGCAGCAAAAATATATTTTTTAAGAATATTGCGAAATTTGGCAATATTTTAAGAATAAACCCAAGGCTGAGATTTTGAAAAGGATACAATTTTGTGTGTTGAGAATCTGTGAATACAATACAGTTTTGTTTTTAACTTAACCATATAGAATTCTTCCTTTCTCTAAATGGGAAAAAGAGCCAACAAAACGAAAAATCCTGCAATAACTGTAATTGGTCATGATACCCCATTACACATTCTAAAAAGGAAATGTCACAAACTCTAATTTGAGAATAATACTAGAATAAAATCCAGCCTAAAAATGGCAGAAAAATAAGAATATTCAACCTGGGCCGGAAAAACAACATTCTTATAAAAACAAAAGAGTGTACATAGGTGCATATAACTAAAGAACTGGCAAAAGTGTAATATCGATTGTCTTAATACATTTCTGTTTATGTGCAGGACTGATGATGCATTTGAGCGAAAAAAGAAAGACGTGTTCAAGATCAAGACAACTGACATTGGACCACTTAGAAAGTTAACGTAAGAAAATGTCAATGCATACATGCGTAGCTTTATTGCCAGCCTGCGTCTCATACGTAATCTTACTCCGGTTCACCCGGTTAGTAACGTCTGCGAAGCAGTGCCGATATCCTTGTTCCAGGCCTCCAACAGACTCAATGAAATCACCGGAAATGCGTTTCGAATTTCCCTTCATCCTGATTGGCAAATTGACAGTAGCTTTTTTTTTAACAAGCCAGTCATGGTGCGTAATCAAATCCTGGTACACAGGTGGGGGCCCAGAGCAAGGATTTTGGCACTGTTTCGCAGACGGACTTGACCAGAGTTTAGTTTCGTCTGTGGCACAGGCCGGGGTTTCATTGCAACCTTTAATTTTTTTTAAAATTGTTGTCAACTTTGATTTATCACAGCGTGGAGCATGATAATTTTGGTTTTTCCGCTGGATGGTTTCTAGATAAGGTGAGTGAGACAGACTATACATTTGTCAGTCCCTCTTTTTCCCTTTTAATGTACAGACTTAATTAGCCAGGTCTAAACGGGAAACTTAAGTTAGTATAGTTATAATATAATTTTAAACCCAATTAACTTTAAGCCATGACAAGGAAAACCATTAACCGCCAATCTTTGCTTACCGTAGCTTAAGAAGCCTTCATTGCACCTTTTTAGGAAAGCCATTTTTCACGGTCAAACGAAAATCAGTCTAAAACAAAATGTGCTTCTTCTTTTCAGATAATAGTGTATTGTCGCGAAAGAGAAGATCGGAGGTTCTACTTTCCATGTAACCAGTGGCTAGCTAAAGATGAAGGAGATGGGCTGATAGTGCGACAACTGACAGCAACAACTGACTCCTCAGCTGCTTTTGAAGGTCATTAATTTACATCTAAAACGACCGAAATTATTGGCCACTTTAGAAACGCGAAGGGAACTGGAGCCGAAATGTATCCCGCAATTAATTGTGGGATCGTTACTGGGGACGCACGCGTCAGCTATTAGGGACTTTAAGATCCAACGACGCGACGTCAACGAGATCCTCTAAAAAACGATAGATTTAATGAGCAAAACGACAACTTTGCACGTACATCTCACATTTTTGTACATTTCTTTGCCCTTTTTGGCACGACTAGAACATGAGAATCCAATTTCGTGTTTTATGAAGAACGTAAACAAGCAACGGCGAATTTTTTTTTCTGTTTCTGAACTTGGATATGGTCTCTTGGAATTCAACTTCAGAAGAGTTTGTCCACATTTGACAAAGTAAGTGGGTAGGAATAATTGCGACAAAGACTGAAAGAACGCAAATTCACCTTCGCCGTCACGTCGTTGGATCTTAATAGAGAGTTTTAGATCCGAGTTTACCGCGAACCTCTAACCGCGGTTTGCGGTTACCCGTTTGCGGTTCGAAGTTCAAACATAATTCGATTTAGATTGGCGGTGGTTTAAAGAAGTGGATTCCGGTTTATTTTTCCATTTAGAAATAGAAGAAATATCAATCAGTGAAAAATGAAAGAAATTTAGAATAACACTTGGTTATCTAGCAGCAAAGAGCTGTAAATTCTTACATTAGTTCTTCTTGCAAATGTACGGCCACCATTTTGAATCAGCAGCCATGAATGGCACTCGTTTTCAAGATCCTATAGGATTTATCAAATTTAGCATTTCGCCCGAATGTGTGCCTCTGTTAATGGATAAAGACTTGCTCCACAAGATTTTTGTGTCATTGCGTGAGATAAAACAAGAATTATAGGCTAAAAGCTTTCAGGTAAATGACCTACGTGAAAACCTACTTCCCCACGTTGAAATCGCACGTCGTAAACCTCAAACGTGACGAGAAAGACTTGTCACGTGACCTTCAGCGGTTAGAGGTTCGCGGTAAACTCGGATCTAAAACTCTCTATTGTCCCTTTTTTCCCCCCTGTCCGTCGTAACCGTACCAGAAGTCTTTGCGAAAGTTAACTCAGCCCAAGCTCCTTCTCTTTTCTAAGGTGGCTAATAATAAGAAAGATCTTTTCAATAGAGGAGAACTTTGCAAGAGTAATTTAAGCAAACTTCCGGCGTTTTTAGAGCAAAATAGTTTGCTTTTTCGGCGAAAGTTGGCGAAATAATTAGCAGCAAAATTTCGGCGTCTTTGTCAGCCTCGTGACAGCTAAATTTCGTAAGCTCAGCAGAAAGTGATAGTTGATGGCTTGGGACGAAGTATCAGTGCGAAATTTCGTTTCCTCTGGAAGAAAATTCGTCTTATAACGCAAAAGTTTGTTTCAGCAGAGCAGTTGTGAACGCAATTTATGCAATTGCGTGAGAAGCCTGAAAAAAGTTCAGGACTTCAACGGGTTTTGATCGCAGGTCAGGGGTTCAAACCCCGTTGAAGTCCTGATTTTTTTTTCAGGCTTCTTACGCAATTGCATAAATTGATTTCATTTCCGCAGTTCATATATGATTTATTTCATATACATCTATCATAATAATGTTGGTTTGATGCGGACCTGGTTCCATAGTTATTTAGTAAAATTCAACTAGTGGACTATTATAAATGCTGCGTTCTGATTGGTTGAGCTACTACTAGGCTATATGTTATAGCCCACGAGTAGCGAAAAGCGCGGGCTTTTTGGCGGCAAAAAGGGATTAAAGTCTAGCTTTAACTAGCTAAACTTTCTTCATTCTTGATATTTTTGACCAACTAGTTGGATTTTACTAAGACAATTATTCCTCTCGCCCTCATGGCCTCTGAGTCAATAGCCCATTCGGGCTTGAGGAATAATTGTTAAGTACATCGGTCGTTAGCCTGAACATGCTTCTCAGGTTACTTGGAACAGTTTGGTGATAAACGTCATGCATCTTCATGCTGCGACATGTCCCTGTGTTTCTTAGCAACAATTTGTCGCCCAGTGTGTTCCGACTTAAGAAGTAAGTTCATTGCTTCTTTTCCAGGCCATCCTTACCTGGTTCACACATTCACTGGTGACAAGAGAGGGGCTGGGACCGACGCAAACGTAGTCATTACCATGTTTGGAGAAGAAGGTGACTCAGGAGAGAAGAAGTTGGAGAACGCCAGGAATAATTTTGAGCGTGCAAAGTAAGCGGCTTGCATTGTTATCTACCGGGGCATTTCAAAACCATTGCAAATTTAAAAGATCACTTTTCAGCCCCAAAGTGTCAACTTAGCCCTGCAGGCTAAAAGTCTAATTCAGCCTCTTCTGGAGCCATTTGAGCACAATTTAGCCAAAACAGCCCCATGAAATGCCTTTTCCAGCGCACGCTGGACACGTTTCAGCTTTTGGGTCCAAATCAGCCCAAGGTAAGACTAACTGGACTATGTTAGGAGACGTTCTTAGATTGCTCGTCAGGAAGGAACGCACCATGAAGACCTATGAAAGTCTTTATGATTAGAGCGGCCAAATTTAATAGATCCCCCAAAATAGCACTGTATTTTACTCACCGAAACGGCCCCATTTTTAAGGCTAAAACAGATCTTTTTTATTTACAGTGTGTCCACCACCAGAAAGTTGGGTGAAACTTGCGAATTGTATAACTGTTTCTTATTGTGTGGATTCATTTTTCAAGGAAAGATTCTTTCAAGGTAATCTGTGGAACACATCTTGGACGACTGACCAAGATAAGAATTGGACATGACAACAGTGGTCTTGGTCCTGGCTGGTTTCTAAACAAGGCAAGTCTGATGTATTACTTTATGCACGTTTTGGCTTCTGGAAAACGTTATGGATACACAGAATGCGACTAGACAGTGTATTTACCTGATTCTATAAAGGTTGCTTTGGATATTGAGCAATTGCGCACTGGGAAGCGGTCACTCACGCAAAGTATTACAGTGAGTTCTGTATGCCCAAATGCCCATTACCCAATTGTCAATGACCAATTGCCAAAGCAGCCTTTATTGAATCACAGTGCAACCTCAATATAATGAATAGCCAAGACTGGCTAAATTTGTTCTCTATCACGAGGTTCCGTTAAAACGAAGTTTTTTTCCATATATTTTACTGTTACTGGGGGTAAACAAAATTGTTCTTTATGCCCAAGACTACGTTATACGCAGGTTCGTTATATCGAGGTTCCTCTTTATGCTTTGTTTCAATGCTATTCTTAGTTCCAATTTTGTTTTATTTTGTTTCAAACTGACTAGCATACATTACTTCACCCAAAATTGAAGAGAAATTAAATTTAAATCGGAATAAAATTAAACCACAACATGTAAATAAATTCATCTCACGACCTGTTTATGAAATGTAAGTTAGTTTCGAGCTATATATCATGCAAGTTGCTTCATCTATGGTATTGGACTTACAATGAAAGGCTTTTGGTTAAACGCAAAATAAAACTAACCGTTGACGTGATATTTGTAACAGGTTTCAGAAAGGAAACGTCACACACAAGACACGAACAAGTTTAAACAATATTTCTTCATTTATCAAATCGTTTCTTACAAACTTGTTTTAGGTAACTGTTGAAGACCCTAAGACGGGTGAGGCAGTCGACTTCCCATGCCGACGATGGTTATCAAGAACTGAAGATGATAGACAGATTTCTCGTGAACTGATCAGAGGAGATACTAAAGATGAGGACATGGTTGTTGATAAAGGTAATTATACAGCCACAGACTTGTTGGCTTTAAACTAATCCTCGTTACTTTTTTGTACAACTGTGGAACAGGATCACGCTTGATCCTTTTGAGTTTTGCCATCTGTCGAGAAGCCGTAGCTTTGTTAGCCTCCCACGCAGATATTCTTAGGGGTTTGTCGCGCATTCCTGCCCCACGGAGAGGAGGGGCAGGAAGGATTGGGGAGTGTTGCGTGACGAGCCAAAAGAACGTTTGCAGGGGAAGCTATAGCTTCGTCGGCGGGCTTAAGGTCTAAAACAGATTCTGAAATGAGGGTATTGAATTGAGAATTTACATCTCATTGTTGCTGTCTGCAGTCTTCCTACAAGCTTGAGCCTCGTCTATGTTCAAGGACAAAGAAAAGGAGAAAGGAAACAATTTAACAGAACAAGTTGACCATTTCAAACCCCCGATTGGCAATACCTCGCGCACAGCACTCGAACCTAGTTCCCTGTTCCGTGACGTGTCATGTGTTTGCTTTGTAACTGAAGCGTGAAACCCTGATGTAGATGCAGCCTGAGAGTCTTCCAAAACCATGTTACCAGGCGGGGAATGTCCAGTGTTAAGAGTGTCTGACGTTGAAATTTATATTCACCATCCCTATTTATTTCCTTTAGGAATCCCATACCATATTCATGTCACCACCGGAGATGTCAGAAATGCTTCGACTAACGCACGCGTGTACGTGATACTTCATGGAGGAGAAGACGGAGAAAACAACAGCGGTAAACTCTGGCTACAGAACGAGAAAAAAGACAATTTTGAGAGAGGAAGAACAGACATATTCACTGTTGAAACAACGGAGATGTTGAGTCCCTTACATCACTTGACAATTGGTCATGATAACAGTGGACTTGGTGCAGGGTGGTACTGCGAGAAGGTAATGTCAAGTCATCACTTATGCTTTTTACTGCTCACAAGTGACGGTTTGGCCTCGCCTTCGTGCCTACTCGGCCTCCACTTTGGTTTCATCTTCTACTCTTCTGGCTCGTTATAATACTGAAATTTGTTTCCGTTTCACGGTTTGTGGCTCTGGTTCCCAAACTAGGCGAACTGATGGGACACGTAACCGCAATGACCTTAATGCGAAATTATAGGGCGTGGCATGAGATCTGGTGGTTCAGTTCCTTTATTTACTAAGACAGGAGCATTATAGGTGCTTCTTGGGGTTTGAACTTGTACTGTAGGGTAGGTGGGGGAGGGGTTGGGGTTGGACTTGCTATACGTAGTGTTCCAAACCAAGGGTCAGTAAAGATGGCGGACATACTTTTTCATTTTTCTTCTTAGGTGGTAGTTGACTGCCCTAGCAGTGGACACCAACAGATATTTTTGTGTCAGAAGTGGCTGGCAGACGATGAAGGAGACCAGTTGATTGAGAGAGATCTTTACGAATCCGAGGACATGAGACTCAAGAGAAGGCCAAGTATGTTTACAATTTCATTTCGTTTGTTCTTCTGTTTATTCCATTCCCCGTTTTCATTCCTAAGTTACATTCCCAACTTCTAAGAAAGTTTACCTTCTACCCTACGGCGTCTACTTCTTCCCTTTGGTTTTAAGATGTTGTTTTTTCGTTGTAGAAACTGTATGGAATGTTTGGGTGTGGACGAGTGACATGCGGGGTGCTGGTACCGACGCTAATGTGTTTGTGACAATGTATGGAGACAAAGGAAAAACTGATGAGGTACCGATTGGTAACGCAACGGATAACTTTGAACAAGGACAACTGGACAAGTTTAAGGTATGTCACGTACGTTTGTTCATGCAAAGAATTTATTTACAGACCTTTAGGAAAAATGGAGAGCGCGAAACGATAGCCAAAAGAGCGACAGCGTGACATGTCCAACAACATCATTGGGAACAAACCTTTATTTCTTTCAAAGAACTGAAATTCTATGCAATGATTTCACAAGCGATCTCGAAACTGCCCACTGCCAGGACAGTTCATAGCCGGAAGACGAGCAGCTTTCGCTCACCCATTGCTAGCAAAACCTTTTCATGGATGGTTTTCGCGAAAAAAAAAAAGATGCTCATTTGGCCTTCCAATATAAAGCAAGCAAAAAGTATTTGTCTTAGTAAAATGGATTCTGGGACATATACTAACTGCGTTATGATCCCATCCATAACGATCCCATTCAATCACATCGGAAAATTGCCTTGACCGTACGACAAACGTTATTGCAGAACGTAACGAAGTTGTTTTATATGGGTTTTCTGTGTCTTCTTCGTGTTAATGATTTCCATGTCCATTTTTGCCACTGTTAGCTTGAACTCACCAGCGTTGGCAAACCATATAAACTCAGGATCCGTCATGATGATTCAAAGCCTTTTTCAGACTGGCACTTGGAAAAGGTAAGCAAAAGAAAAGCTGGAATTGTTTGTTGTTATTTTGTCTACACAGAACATGTACACACTGTATCACATCCCGGCTTAGTTTTTTGTTTCTCTTCGTCAGAGTGATTTTGTTATAAAGGGGTGAAACAATGGCCCAAAAGCAAGGCGTCCCAATTTCACTGAAAAATGAATCACTAATGCTCCTTTTGGAAAATTTGATTATGATTACGGCAAGTGAGAAATACGCTTCCTTCAATTCTGCTAAGGAAATTTCTGATTTGGAAAGTAAATTTGTAAATCTACCTTCCACTCTGGCAAGTTGTGTCAAAAGTAAGTATCAAGTCAGGTACATACTAAGCAAAACCTAAAAAAATACTTCTTTCATCCTCCGTGAAGTGCAGAGGTCCCTGATACATACGTTTGCGAGATGTTCCTTTCTTTCTGTTTGCGATATTCATTACCACACCACACCTGCACTGTTAAGTGGCAGTAATTGTTTTGAAGAATACCCGTTTGATCTGATTTTTCCTAGATTCAAATGGAAAACGCTCGGTCAAGCATCAAGTGTTCTTTCAAGTGCAACCGCTGGCTCTCCAAGAGTGAGGAGGATCACCAGATTATCCGGGAACTCCCGGCGATTATTCAGGGAAAAGAACCGCTACCAGGTAAAACAAACTAAGATTAAAAGTAAATAAAACAATTGAAAAGCGTCGAGGGTTGGAGTGAGGGCTTTGGTACAGGTCTAGTTCAATTTATTGACGAAAGTTGGCGTGTGCTTAAGAGTTTCTATCGTAACATTAAGGACAATGTCTGGCAGTCACTAAGTTCTAAGCAGAGAAAGGAAGTTGAAACGCTTCAGCATGCTTCTGCCCAGACATCAGATGTGAAAAACTTGTCAGGGTGTAACGGTTCTATGCGTAACACTGCGTGAAAAGTGTAAACTGATTCCCCCGCTGTGCTGTTTTCTTGTTTCTCAGTCTATGTGTACCAAGTGTTCGTGCACACTGGAGACAAACGTGGCGCCGGTACTAATGCAAATATATTCCTCAATATATTTGGAGAGTTAGGAGATACCGGGGATCGACCTTTAGAGGAGTCCAAAAGTAACAGGGATAAGTTTGAGAGAAACCAGGTAAGTTTGGTAGACGATCGACTACATCTTATCTGCGTAATAATAAACACTTAATGACTGGTCCTGAGGAAAACAGTTAATTTTGTTTCCCGAGAATCTTAATGTTTCCCTAGGCGGAACCGAGGGAAACACTGAGATTCAAGGGAAAAAACTAACTGTTTCCAAGGGACCAGTCTTAAAGAAATTCTTTATATATCTGGAAATTTTGAAGCTGGAAATTCATTAAACCTCGCTATAACGGCGGTCGTCGATCAACATTCGCGGGTAACAGTGCACTGTTACCCTCTGACATCATAAATTTGCAATGTTGCTCTCTCAGAGATTTTGTCTGGGAACAGTTTCATTGATAGATGTCATGGGACCTCGAAGTAACCAACGAGAGTACGCGCTGTTGGGAAAAATTTCCAGCTATATAACAATGATAATGTTATGACAAATGTTGCAGCTGTTGTTTAACGAATGTTGAGTGGAGTATCGTGCCTTGTTTAGTAGGGCCTTGTCCTCAGGTATCCGGCTTTTTTAAAAAACGGAGAGTTTTTTCCTCCGTTCTTTTGAAAAAGTACGCATCCACACGTAGCTTATTCAAATCGTTTTAGGCCATCCACACGAACATAATACGATAGCGAACCTTACAGAGTTTGCGCAATATGATGTATGACATCATCATTTTCGAAACCTCCGTTTTGTTCCTTCTTCACGAAAACAACAACCTGGCTTTTTCAAAAATTTTCATTCAGAGGACCGTTTTCAAAAAACCTGCGTATTTTGGTGCCCGAAATCGCCGTTTTCGTGTGGAAGGAAGGCTAAAACGGGATGAGGGTTAGGTCATTCAACATGTAGAAGGTTGCTGAACAGTGAGGGCCGCAGCATTGGTTAATCAAAAAATGTTGAAACCGTGCGTCAGGTTTGTCTGGTTGTCACAGGACCGTCTAATTTCGTTGTTGTATGTGACGTGCCCAAAGAGTCACGGTTGTATCTGTGGGGAGCTTCAAAAACGGTGGTGCTTTGCCACAGAACTATTTGACCTGGAGTGGATTTCTTTACGTGACAACATGCAGTCAAATCTCCCTAACTCGGACACCCAGGGGACAGACTCAAGTGTGCATATTTTAGAGGTGGGGATATGTGAACTCCAGTGTTTTCGCGGCATCAGGAGAACTGTCCATAAAGGTGTCCGTATTATATTGCTCCAAAGTTCCTTCCTTTCCACCTTTGTTCTAGTAAGACCCTCTCTAATTCTAATCAACCGGTTCATTGAGCTTAAAGTGGAAGGTTTCCTTTGCTGTAGGTAGATGAATTTCTTATTGAGGCAGTGTCATTGAAAGGTCTTCAGAAGGTCCGTGTGGGTCATGATTCCTCCGGGGCCGGAGCAGGCTGGTTCTTAGACAAAGTTGTAATAAAGGATCCTGAGGACAATACCAAGGAATATGTGTTCCCTTGTAACAGGTTTGGAAAACTCACAATATAAAGGCACAATAGTTCTTGTTTATTTTCCGGCTTATAAGTTATGAGATTGTCTTCAATAGTTCATGTTCATTTCTTGCCTTCTTCGGTTTCACACCTCTGATATGTATGTTGTAGTTCAAAATGAATTTCAATTTGCTTTATCTCCTTACCCAAATCATAAGCGAGAAACAGAAAAGTAACCATTCAAACTAGGTAAGGGTTAGAGGTAGTCTTCGTACGTAAAAAGATATAGGCCCTGAACAGTCCATTGAAAACGAATTATCAACACCATGTACAGATGTTGAGTTTGCTTGTTTTCCAGGTGGCTGGCAAAGGACGAGGATGATGGACTGATTGTGAGAGAACTTCCTTTGGGTGGCACAAGTTTGCTCAATAGTACGTTTTGTTGATCCAATTCCCTCCTTGCACTTTATCGCCTATCTGTTTTTTGTTTGTTTCCTTCTCTGTTACAAACATGTACCGTATATTGACGTTGATAGTGTTTTTTCCACTTGGGACGTCCCTCTTTACAATACGGACGCGTGTTGATGTCTTGAGACATTTTGTAGCTGTTTTTTTATACTTCTCTGATAGCCTGCGAAGGAACGACAATGACAGAGTAAGAAAGACGTGGCTGCTCGAGATCCGTCTTGTTATCTTCACTTTACTGGGACCAAAAATAAATAACTGGTTTAATGTTTAATTGTTAATTGATCAGTCCCTGATCCTAACACTTGTGCTCAATGCGTGTCACGAGAGATATAATGCATTGTATTTGTTGTAGCTGAATTTTGTGTTTGTTTTTAGCCACATCTTACCTGGTGTCAGTGAAGACAGGTGATGTGCGTGGAGCGGGCACGGACGCCAATGTTTTCGTCCAAATTTACGGTGATAAAGGCGACAGTGGGAAATTACAGCTTCGAAGTGCCGAAAACACGAAAAACAAGTTTGAACGAGGCAGGACTGACCAGTTTGTTCTTGAGGCCGTGGACATCGGAAAGGTTTGTCCTGGTACTTGGTATTGGCAAATCGCGTAGAGATGAATCATGAATAGATCATCTCTCTCTGCCTTGTTCTCAGTACTCTCTTACTTGCATCTACTTTTTAAGTCCAAAAAGTTATTACACGTAACATCAATTTTCTTCTAACAATTTCAATACAAAATCAAGAGAAGAGGTTATGAGAGTTAATAAAATGACCCCCAAGGGGAAAATGTTTTGATCTTTTTTCCAATTCTCAAACGAAATGTAAGGAAATCAGTGTGGAGAATTTGTTGCTCCTTGGTGAACCGTTTAATTCAACGTTGACCAGCGTAATAGTTAGTCGAGAAAATATGACGGTGACCTGGAGAAATGTCCTTCAAACGACAAAATAACCTCCATAGTGAATACATGAGAAAGATGATTTTTCAGTCAAGGACACAGACGGCACGGTGGAAGTGAAAAGGCTCGGCCTCAGCTCCCACAGGTTATGGTTTTCAGGGTCTTGAGTCTTAAACAGGGTATATAATTTCACTATTAAGCGTCTTGAGCAGGGTTTCTTTTTAGACCCGAAGCCTTAAACAGGGTGTGAATCTACAGGGTGCGATCTACGTGTGTAACGATGTTTTTTAAAATAAACTAATTTTGTCCTCTCAGTAATGTCAAAAAAATCCCCCCCCCCCCACCGGGCTCAGCTCCCACGATTCTCCTGTAGCTTAGTGGTAGAGCATCTGAACTAGTAACCGGAAGGTCATGGATTTGACTCTTATTGGGTGCATTTGGATTTTTGTTCCGAGCCACTTGTTTCACTGACTGAAAAATCATCTTTCTCAACCTCAAAAGAGTTTCAACCTCTTCTTGTTCCAAAAGAAAGTAAATAACAAGCCAGTAAAGGCCTCGCACAATGTATCTAGTGCAAGTGTACTGATGGTGCATCTTAGGAAAGCAACCGTTAGCAGGGGTGAAGTCAATAAATAATGACTTGTTTGGAGTAGGACCTAAGAAAACTGCCCGCGACCGCTTTTTGTAGTCATTTTTACTGATGAGTGACGGTTAAAGGAGATGTTCACGAAAATTATCACTGAGAATTTCAGCGGAGGGAACCACTACTAAACTGAGTGAAACAGAAAAATATCTGCTCAAAACATGAAAAGAAGGTATAAATAACACTGCAGATGTAAAAGGAGAAACAAAGTTCAACCAGACAACTGTGACACCGCCTCTCTAAGGGAAGTGATTTCTGCGACGTTGATAGGTGACCAGTTAAAGGAGGGTGAATGTGGAGGGTGAATGTTTCGTATAGGTTTGACTGTATTCTTTCCTTTTACAAAAAAAAAAAGCAGCCTGACACTGTGCTCTGTATTTTTCCTTAGATTGAAATGCTACGCATCTCACACGATAATAAGGGAACAAATGCAGGGTGGTTCCTTGATGACGTCACTGTGGATATTCCTTCACGTGGTGATAAAGTGGTATTTCCTTGTCACCGCTGGCTAGCTGACGATGAGGATGATGGGAAGATCGAGCGGGAATTGTACCCTGGACAGCAAACTCATACTAATCCAAGTAATTACTCTGTTTTTGTTATTTATTTGTGTATTGTTATTTATTGATAACTAACCGGTTTAATTTTTGATTTTTATGATTCTTTTGCATCCATAAAATGAATTGAAATTTAAAAAGGTAAAAGATTTCGACATAGTATCAGGGTAAAACTTAATTTCCATTCTAGGGCTACTCTCCTTTTATAATCGTAAAACGTTCATCTGCACACTGAAAAACTTTTGAATCTAATTACAAATAGCTTAAGAGGGAGACTTCATTGTGAAGGAAGTAGGAACTGGGTAGTAGAGTCCAACCCCTCTTAATAAGGACACCTCATAACAACGGACAGTTTGCTTCGTACCTGGGGAAAGAAAGCCCTTACATTTTCTCTAAATTCAACCCGCTTAATACTGACACCCCTTTTAACAGCGACACCTTCTATGGCTCTCTCAGTGTCCGTATTAACAGTGTTCGACTGTATTTTGTTTGTCCCCGCTCTAGGAGTTACATCAATGTAGTATTCACACAGAAATTACCTGCGAGCAAGCTCTCCATTTGGGGGATGTAGTGAGAAGTTACGCGCGAGCGGCAGGCAAGAGGAGATGCGTTTTCTCGCGTTTGTCGCTTCGCTCGCCACTCGAAATGGAGAGCTTTCTCGCGGGGTAACATAGAATGTACTCTCTTAGACGAATGTTATGGTGCAAATCTGATCGCCTGCGTAAAACAGTACTCGCCCGCTAATTCCGCCGGCTACAAACTTGATTGCCTCTTTCATCTTTGTTCAAAGGAACGAGGTTACTATAATTAATTGACCTGTTGATTTTATTTTCTCGATTTTTTGCGAGTAGAGATCCCATATGAAGTGACAGTGTACACTGGAGATGTGAGAGGGGCTGGCACGAACGCTAATGTGTTTCTAGTCATGTATGGTGAGAACGGCAAGTCAGACCGGTTTGACCTGAGGAACAAGTCTGACAACTTTGAAAGAGCACAAGTAGACAAGTTTAAGGTGAATAGTAGTTGATTTGACTAGTTTTAGAAGCACATGTAAATTCTCCTTGTTATTGTGACATTCCTTGGAGTAAAAACAGAGGCAGCGTGGCCTAGCGGTTAGAGCGCTGGACTTGCAAATCGGAGTCTCCGAGTTCAAGTCCCGTTCTGACCGCTAGCTGGATTTGTTCACTGTAGTCCCGAGTTCAAATCCTCGACCACGCTTGTACATAGCTAACTGACTTGCCTTCCCGGCAAGTTGGGATTCTTAATGACCGTATTATGTCTGGATTAAATTATTTGTTTCAGGCAGTTGCTCGGCCCCACTAGCATTAGTGCAGTAAATACTGCCCAGGGTAAATATTTGTAACGTGGTTATTATTTATTATCATTAAGTTTATTTCATCAAAATGAATTTTTTTACACATAAAAGGGGGTGTGAGATGATTTGAGTGGCTTTAGGTCTTTGTTGAAAGTTTCCTTTAAATTGACAGGTGGAGAATGAAGATGTTGGACCGCTCTTAAAAATTCGGATTGGACACGACAACAACCGAATGGGTTCAGCCTGGTTCCTGGACAAGGTAACAATATTCCTGGTAGAAGTATGAAAAACTTAAAATATTTAGCCTGTTTTAACCAATAATAATTTCTTTACGTCTTGTGATAAGTGATTTGAAATCTTCTAGCCTGCAAGCAGCCAGCCTGCTACGCAAGCGTTTCCTATCGAGTTAAAAGTTACAGTAAAACGTGCAACAAAAAGTGCAACTTGTTTTGCAACGTTGTTGCAAAACGAGTTGAGGAGCTATGTTGCGCAACATCGCTATTCAATTCGTTTGGCAACAAAATCGCAAAACAAGATGTACGCATTTTTCTGCCCGTTTAACGGTGCCCTTACGCAGGCTACAAGCAAACCCTCTCTTGTCTTTCACTCGCGCGTGAATCTTGCATTTTTAAGGGCGGAGGTTGATCGCTGGCTAAAATATTTGGATTAATTAATTTTGTTTCTTATTGTAACTCGCGTTTTTCATTTTCGCGAAGGTTGAAATTCGTCGCGTGAAGCCTGAGGAAAAAGAACCTCGTAAGAAGCGTAGAACATCCCAGGCTGAAGAGATGGGTGACGAGTTCAATTATCTTTTTGTATGCAACCGCTGGCTTGCACGTGATGAGGAGGACGGCCAGATCGTGAGGGAGCTGGTACCAGTTGATGCGAGCGGAAAGCCAAGGCGAGGCTCACTAGCAGGTATATATTGTATATATGGCCAATTCAATTAAGTTTAATTCGCTTTGGCAATTGGTCAATGACAATTGGACATTGGGCTTTTGGGCAAAGGGAACTAACTGCAATTTTTTGCCAAAGTGACGACCAAACAATAGCTATCCAGTGCGCAATTCCCAATCCCCAAGGCAATCGTCATTAAATCAACTATATCTGTGGGATTGTAATATTAAGTAGTTGTCGAACGTCTCTTCAACAGGCTCTTTGGGACAGAGCTGAGCCGGCGCTCGTGTTTAGATGGGTGTCAGTGGCTCAAATGGCATGAGTTTATCTCAGCAAACATTAAGCTGCGTTCAACAAACTGTAGCTGTTGATAGGTGCCGTCGAAACATAAGTTTGCCAACAGTTATGACTAACTTAAGCATTTATTATTATTATTATTTTAGAGAACACATACCGAGTACACGTATTTACTGGCGATGTTTCTAATGCTGGAACAAATTCTAACGTTTTTATCTGCGTGTACGGCGAGCATGGTGATACAGGGGAACAAAAACTGGAAAAGTCAGAGACCCACATGGACAAGTTTGAAAGAAATAATGTAAGAACTGTACTTTTTATGCACGGAAACAAAGAGCAAACGTGTTTCTTTTATTTTGGAGTTGTTTTATCTGTAATGAATAGAAGTGTCAAAGAAAATGTAAAGCAAATTTCAGCATGGCTAGGTGGGCGGGCCTGTCGCGATGCCAAAGACATTTATATGTGTTTTCCAAAATTGTGAAATACATTGCTTTCAGAGGCCCGAAGTTACAGCATTGTGTCTTAGTAGAAAGGTAAAAAACTAAAAAACAAAAAAGACAATTTTTGAGCACGAAAGGTACTAACTGAGGACACTATTTAACGTCAGTCCTGGAGTCGGGACCCGAGCGCCATTGCACGTGGTCATTCGCGAGCCAGGGCAAAAGCAGTACCTTCATTTCTCAGTTATTTTAAGACCCTGAGTATTGGTCCGGACCCGGAAATCGATCCAACGACCTCCCGCTCCACAGTCAAGAGCTTAACCGACTGAGCTAATCCCACGACGGTCAAATGATTGGGGAAGGTTGGCGAGTTAGCGTGCCTACTATTGAGAGCGCATCGCGGCTTTTGCAATGCAAAGGTCCCGGGTTTGGGTCTCGCCCTGACTATCAGTTGGGTTTATTTCTTTGCAAACTCGAGTTCAACCTCTCGCTCATGCTTTCAAAAAGCCGCTTGGTTGTCTCCGGCCTAGTGGGATTTTTCAAAGTTGTGGTGTTGGATTTTAATGAATTGTTTCAGATATTCTCGGCCCACCAACCGTTCTTCTATTAATATTGTCGAGAGAAAAATAAAGTTTTGTTCATTTCTGATCGCTTTACCTGGTAGTTTAGCCAGCGTTTCCCCGTGGTTACAGGCCTTCTTTGGCTATGGTTTATTTACCCATACCCGTACCTCAGAAACGGAGTATCTTACCGTGCTGTTCATTATTTGATTTTTTTTTCGGCTTTGGTTCATAGGAAGATATCTTTTCCTTCAACTGTATAAATATTGGTAAAATCAGCAAAGTCAAAGTTTGGCACGACAACAGTGGATTGAAGCCCGCCTGGCACCTGGACAGAATTGAGATAAACGACAGACTAGCAGAAGAGAATTATGTGTTTCCGTGTAATCGTTGGCTTGCAACCAGTGAAGATGACGGGCAGATCTGCCGTGAACTTGGCGCAGTTGACGATCGAGCTATGCAGTTACAAAGAAAGAGATCTCTATCCAGGAAAGCCAGCGTTGTATCTAATGTTGATGGAGTTGATCTGGAGGCAAAAGGTTGGTTAACATTTGTTACAAGGGAATACGGCTGACATGTTTGGTTGAAAGCATTTTTGCGCACTGTTTCCGTGCTCGCTTCTTCATATGATTTTCCTTTAATGTAATGAGTTAAAATCGACGCGACGCGCCTTTTTCCCAGCATTCGCTGGCGTGAATCCCAAACAGTAGTTTGGATGATCGAAACAAGCATCAGCTGTGATCATCTTCATTTTATAAACTGCCTACACCAGGTTTGTCTTATTCACGTTTTACTGCTTTATTTAAACTCTATACATTGTATCATACCTGCGTTCGACCGTAACTTTGCAGTATCGCCATGATTAGGCTGAGAAAACAGCCGTCATTTTGGGATACCAGCAACGGTTTCCACGCGACATGACGTTCCATGAACGAGCGCAGAAATTCCATACTGATGACGTGCCACTACCGATATCTGGGTAGTGCTTCTGATAGACCGTGAACAACTGCAGCCTTTCTTAACAAGGCGCTTTTCGTTTTAATCACACAAAACAACTGGTTGATTTGTATTTCTCTATTCTGTGCTGAGCACAACATCATGCAAGCGCTTCGTACTTAATAAATGCTAATGGTGCTCTTTTTTTTCAAATGCTCTGCAGCCCGCATGAACACGTATGAAGTATCAGTTGTCACTGGTGACGTCAGAGGAGCGGGGACCAACGCAAATGTGTATATCATCTTATTTGGAGAAGAGGACGATACTGGTTAGTTTTTAAAGTAAATATTTTTGCGTTTAGAGTTTCCCTTGGTTTGTTCTATGCCTCTTGTAATGAGATGAACCTTTCTTTTGCAGGTAAAGTCCCTTTGAAAACGTCACGTACGTTCAAGAATAAGTTTGAGCGTGGACAAACAGATGTGTTCACAATCGACGCCTTAGTTGGAGAAGTACAAAAGATCAGGTAATAATTGCGAGTTTGGAGATTATTTTCATGAACTGGAGTCTCACTACTTTATTTAGCAGGATAAGCAGTCGTTTCCTTGATCGAAGGATGGGCTCAGAGAACTACGTTTTAAGTTGCAGTGGCTAAAACTTTTGGGGGGCCGGGGAATCTTGTATTTCTTCTTGCGAGGGAGAGAGTACTAGTCAAATAACCTGTTAACGTATATACTTAATAAAATGGGCTAAAACAATCGGCTTTTGAGCTGTTGCAATGTTGTGGTAAGCCAAAAAGGGAATGAAGAATTATTTGTTAGTACCTTGTCTTCAAAAGTTCCAGACAGCAGTAGGCAAATAGCAATAGAAACATGTATTAGATTAAATTTCGTCGTCGGATATTTTTCGAATTACTTTTTCCTCCTTATGCAGTGATTTATTGAAAGTGTGTAAATGTAAATGTAAATATCATATTATCCACTCCCCGGGGCTTTTCAGGGATAATTTACAACACTGATTGGGGGACATGGCCTGACTGTTTAAGGTGCAGTTTACTAGTAATGAAGGAATGAGTAATGATGCCCCCATACATGAGGATGAAAGTGAGATACACCACTACATCGGGCACTAGGTGCCCTACTCTTTACGAAGAGTCTGTGGGTTCTTTAACGTCCCACAGATTTTTATTATATGTGCAAGGGCTTGTGAGGCGGGGCCTACGGTTTATCGTCCTTATCCGAGAAGACTAGAAAGTCAAACCGTTTGCAGATGTTATTACAAAGGCAGGACTTTCCTGCTCAGCAGAACGGCGCTTGTCCCATTGAGCTAACCGGGCGGCGGTTATTCAAGTTTTTAATAAGTGAACAAGATAGTGCAAAAGGGAGTATTAATAATGACCTCCTTAACACCATTTTTGCAGAATTGGCCATGATAACAAGGGTGGATTTGCTGGTTGGTTTCTCGACAAGGTAATCATCGACGTCCCATCTCTTGGTCAGCGGCTTGTTTTCCCGTGTGGCCGTTGGCTGGATAAGGGCAAAGATGACGGGCAACTGGAAAGAGAGCTCGTCCCTGGTGTGGACGCAGAAGAAAGCTATACGCCATGTAAGTCAATCTATCAATCAATCTATAAACTAGGATTATTAGTTTCCTGGCTTTGTGATCATTCATAGAAACAAAAGATGTCGACTGGACAAGCTTGTACAAGAGACGAATAATGAGTCCGACATTAAATTCGTTTTGAAATGAAAACGGATAAACCAAAGAGAAAAGAGTGTGAAAACTTGCGATAACACTGAAAGAATTTCCGCCCTTCGACAGGTTTCTTTATTTTAAAGAGCTTCTGATTTTTCATTCGAATTTTTTTTCTGAGTTTTGAACTTCAAATTCTGCGCAAGGGGAAAAATGATAGAAATCTATTTATTTTGATTTGTATTAATAGTTAATGAATTCACTTTCTCAGTGGTTCAGTAAATTCAGGGAACCCTTATAACACATATCATCAAGCCTATTCTCCATACTCGCTTTCATTCATTTCCTATAGTGCTGATGAGAATAATTTTTTTTAGTATATACTAAAACAGTGGATAGTGTTTTTCGGGCGCTCTGATTGGCTACTCAATCAGTGAATATCCTGCACTATTCACTGATTCACCTCCAGTTCCTCCGAGCGAGCGACGCCAAACTCGCGTAAGTTCCAGCAAAATGCTTTCCCGGTTTGCTGCCGTAACAAACTAAGAAATTTCACAACTAATCACGCAAGCTATTTCCGAAATACATGAAGGTGACGAAGTTCGGTTTGGAAGTTTTAACAGGTAAAGCTTTGTCTTTTTGACTTGAATAGTTATCGATAAAACCGGTGAAAAAGTTTTTTGTTTACAAATGCAAATTAAGCTTAAGTCTTGCGTTACTTTATTTAGTTGACTGGTTCATAAATAAGCTTAAAACTAAATTTAATAATCTTTTTTACAGAATTATTTTAAATACAAACAGAATTTACAACTCCTTTTGAAGAAACTTCCCCGCAAGAGCTAAACAAACGCCTTCAAAAGTTTTATTTGTCGCTAAGAAAAAGCGACGACCGCGGCCGTTCGGTCATCGCGCGCCAAAATTGTAATCGTTGGCAACAGTAAATGAATTAAAAATCATCATTTTGTGCTCAATTATCTCACTGTTGTAGTATATACTAAAACAATTATTCACCTCAGTGTCGGTGGCTAGTATTGGATATTTACCTCGCCGCTTCGCGGCCTCGGTAAATAGCTAATACTAGCCACCTCCACTTCGGTGAATAATTGTTATTTAACAATCCGGCGAGAACTTTTTCACTTTACTCTCAACACGTTATGTATGATTTAGCAGTGATATTGTAAGGAGAAATTAGACGCTGGTAATTTTAAATGCTTAATTGATGTTCTTGCAGACGTTCCTTATGAGATAACAGTATACACAAGTGATATGATGGGAGCAGGCACCTCGGCTAATGTGTACTTAGTGTTGTATGGCTCTGATGCTGCCACTGAAGAAGTTGTATTAGCCGACACGTCAAAGAAGAAGAAAGATTCCTTCAAGAGAGGCTCTGTTGATCAGTTTGTCAAGGAGGTTAGCGCGCTTGTTGATGTATTTCCGGTATAAAGGTTTAATTGCTAGGTAATCTTTGTTAATTGAAAGCGGTTTTCCTTTGAGTGCCTTCAAAATAGAACCAATCAATTTCTATGACCAGTCAAAACCCGTGCAAACAACCAGATGAACCAGTCAGAGCTCAAATACTTGTAGCTGATACCTATCGCGGAAAACACGTAGACGCAGATCGCGATGTTCTGATTAGTTGAGAAATTTTTGCGCAAGAAGATTTTTTAACCAATGAAATTGCGTACTAATGAATTAAACAAATCAATTACCTTTGCGCTTGAACTAAAAAAGGGGTCTATAGCTATCTGTATAACTATATTAGAGACAGTAATCGTCAAAAAGTTTTCGTGTTGTTTGAGAGCTTTAAAAATTCTTTTTTGAGGCAACCTCGTGATACTTATGCCTAGAAGATGTTTATAAAAAACATTACAGCGTCTCACGTGTAACTTTCGATCTGTCAGTAATGTGAAAATGTATTTTTTTTTTGCATCATTTACATTACTTACATATAAAGCATATAAATACATGATTACATTGCTACTATACAGAGTAGCCAAAGTAACTTAGTAGTTCTTGCGTACTCGTGAAAATGTTGTTGATGTACGTTCATATTTGATCATTACTTAGGTGACGATGACATTTCATCGATCTCTACGCTTAAATTGAAATTTATGTTAATGAAGTCCCTCCTTTCAGTATTGTGCTCCAACAGTAGTTGTTACCGAGAAATGTCAAAAAAGCCTAGTTAACAATTGCCGAAAAAATGGAATTCTCGAAAATGGCACTGTTAAGAACCCATGTTGATATTTGCTTGTATTTTTTCGCTCTTGCTTGTTCTAGCTGGACAATGTCGGTGATGTGATCGAGAAGATTCGAATCGGTCACGACAACAAAGGTATTACCTCTGGCTGGCATCTAGATAAGGTGGAAGTACGGCGTCTGCAAGAAGACGGAGAAACATCCACAACTTACACGTTTCCTTGTAAGCGGTGGCTGGCTAAGGACGAAGATGACGGCTCTGTTGTTCGGGAGCTGATTCCGCAGAGAGTGGTAGAGGAGTCTGTTACAGAAGATGGCGAGTTTAAAACTAGAGAAGTCAATCAGGAAACATTGGAACGTGAGTTTTGTGAACTGTGAACTGTAGTGACATTAGGTCTTATGAAGAGTACCGAGCAAGTAAGAGTAAGAGTAAGAATAAGAGTACCAAGGACCTAGAATCTGGAACTGTCTTCCTGCATCTGTTACAAACTTGTCAAGCTTTTCTGTCTTTAAGAACAAAGTGCCAGAGTTTTTATTAAAATAGTTACTGAATTAGTTTAGCCGCACCTCTTCGCAGCCCTAATTTCTTATAATATTGTGATGTCGAGGTGGCCTCTCTTTATAAGCCTGGTTGTTTCTTGAGGTCTCCTCGCCTAACAACCTGCTGTATCCTGTAAAATTTGCTGTGAAAAAAAAGGCTAATAAAAATGATGATGATGATGATAATGATGATGAAAGATCTGACCAAATTGACGCGTATTACAGTTGGCCTAGAAAACACTCCATGAATTTAAAGTTGCTTATAGAATACTCTAGGAGTACCACGTGACCTATAGGAACGATCCTCCGGGCAAATTGTTGCTCGGTAATTTGGGCGTGTTCCATCGATTGTATTCTGGAAGAAGAATAAATGGACTACGCTCCGTAAGTCACTGATTTTGGCGTTTATTGCACTGCAATATCTAGAAATTCGGCTGGAAATAAAATATCCCGATGGTGGTTCAAAATTCACGTTACCGGAGATTTGCAACAAAACTTTGCGGATTTTTCTTGCGGAATATGATCAAATGAGCGCTCACTGTACTGCATTCGCTGTCTGATTCCCCATTTTCTTGCAACAGGAATTAACCATGTCAACATTTGCAACCTGTAAGCCCGTTTGCAAAGTATAGTCCGTGTAAGGTATTAGTGTGGAATACCGTGGTAAATTTTTAAGCGTGAGGAATATTGAGCTCGTTAAGGTCCCAGTTTATGGTTTAACAGCCTCATTTTTATTTACAGTTCGAAAGTACAAAGTTCACGTGTTCACTGGCGACGTCAAAGGTGCGGGGACAGACGCCAACGTGTTTATTACCATATATGGGGAGTATGGTGACACTGGAGAGAGACAGCTTGGCAAATCAGAAACGCACAGTAATAAGTTTGAAAGAAGAAACGTGAGTGTTTAAGTTCTCTCTGTATCAGCTCTCACCATTTCACATTGGTTGCTCTTTTTGCCTTTTCTCGTGACATTAGTGAACTTACGCAACGGGACGGCAGAGGAAAGAAGACGGCAAACCTTGTGTGACAAGCGTGACAACAATATCTTCACCCTCCTTTAAACAAGACTTTTGGTAAAAGTCCAGAAAACATTAACTTAAGTGAAGATCACCACAAAACACACAAGTAATAGCCCTGTCACGTTTGCCACACAAAAGCGTTTTGCCGTCCTCTTCTTTCTGCCTTCCTGTTGCGTAAACTCCCTATTTTCAAAACTTGCTCGTACAACCGAGTTTCATAGTAATAGGTACAACTGGCGTCATTAATTAATGCTTCACTGGCAAGTGAATCAGTAATCAGACTTATCTATGACTCTAACGCCTGAACCTTCCTCCGCCATGATTTATGATGTTTACACTTAATATTTTTCATGACTTTACTAAACTTCACTACTCAGGACGTACTACTACAACAGATATACATAAGAGAAATTGTAACAAAGATAGCAAGAAAAAAAAAGGTTGTATAAAAAGACTGCATGTATACATTTGAATAAGAACAGATGAATTAGTGAGCAGCAGCCAAAGTAGCGAAAGCTTTCAATTTGGGAGCTGCTTACTTAAGCATATGATTACAAAGAAGTGCACAAAAAAGGGGAAAGAAGTAATGAAAAGGGGAAAGCAAAATAGTTTGCATAGAAAGAAAAGAGGTATAGATATGAATCAGTGTGCGGCGGCCAAAGAAGGAGCTAAAGCTTACGAGTTGGCGGCTGCTTTCTGCTTACTTATACATAAATTGAGGAGGACATCGAGTATACCTACATGTTGTCTCTACGAGTATCCTATAATGAACATAAATTGCAAGGAGACTTTTTGCAGAAGAATTGAGTTGAAATAATTGAAAGTATTGTTCTGTTTACCGTTGTGTAATCTCAGTATTAAACAGTTTATGTTTCCTTCTTGACAGGAAGATGTTTTTACTCTGGAAGCGGCTGAACTTGGAAATATTTACAAGCTGAAGCTTCGACACGATAATTCTAACATAAGCCCTTCCTGGTTTGTTGACCGTGTGGATATAAGGGATGTTGAAACCGATAAACTGTATCCGTTTATTTGCGAGAGGTGGCTTTCTAAGAAGAAGGAGGAAGGAAAAATCCAACGAACTCTTTACGTGAAGGGTTATGAGGTATGAAAATGAACAGAATAGGAATAAACCCTCACTGATATTTAAATCTTGGAAAGTGCGTACGGTTTTTTATAACTACCACTAAATGCCCCGCCTTTTTGAGGAATCCCGGCGCCCGCTCCTTAACGGTAAGCGCTCGATCCTGACGATTTCACGAGAAAAGAGGAGACTGTTAACAGTCTAGACAGAATTCGGCCCATTTTTGAAAACGCACCTTTCCTTGAATGCCCGCGTCGTTTGTTTTGAAAATATTATTTTAATTTTTATTTTATCAAGCTCGTCGTCTGCAATAGTTGATCACTTAACCACCGTCTTTAATATACTTCAATCCTTTCCATTTTCTTATCACATCTGTAACTTTTTTATTTAAAGTTGGTTCTGCAGGTCGAAACATTGGCCCATAATATCGTGTTATAGCCTCTTTGAAACGTTTTACACTCGTAATTCCAGTCAATACTTATACTGAGTTTTTGGCCTTTTATTGTCCTTTCAGAGTTGCGTTATGAAAGGAAAACGCACCAATAAGATATGGTAGAAGTAATTAATAATGTTGACTGTTTCTTTTTTTCCCGTTGTTCATATTCCAGGGAGAACGTTCCACACTTGGAACCATGAGTATGGCGTCTTTGGGAGGTAGCCTTGGTGCACGAAGAAGCAGTCGGAGCAGCCTCGGAAGTAGTCGATCTTCACTGCATCGTAGCAACGAAAGTTTGCCGACTGCTAGCCGAAGTGCGTCCGCCGATGCTATCTTTATGAAGGAATTTAGTGAGGGTAAAAAAGAAGCGGCAGCAGCCGGTGAAGGTCAGTATTTTTGAAAGGAAATCTTTCCTGTTTATGAATAAAATTGGTTTGGTAACTACGTATATTGTCTCAGGGTTTTGAAAAAAATAGTTGCTGAATAAAGGGTTCGTCTTGTCGGGTTTGTCTAAATCTCTTCTCTGCCTCTATGTACCGTTCCCTATAACTTCTAGCTGCAATCGCTGTCAGTGTTAAAGGAATAGTTGTGGGTCCATTATTTGTTGTTTAATGAAACCGATGGTAGTCCTGTTTGCAAATGGTACACTTGTCTTTGTCTTATCCCTTTAGCATAAAGGATTTTAGCGAATCACGGTATCTTTTGATTCCTGTTGGCGTTAAAAGACCCTGACTTTACAGCTGTTTCGGATAACACGCGACCTGCGATGTCAGAAATGTATTTGGATTTTGGGTTTTTCTACGACGCCAATCAAAATCTCATGGCTCGGCGCCTTCTAGCGGACTGACATTGCATTGTAATTATTAATCAACACATTGCAGATCTATAATAATGGCTTAATTTTCGGGGAAGAGAGTATAGTTGTTGCGCTTCCTGAGCGAAGTTAATATAACTCAGAAGGTAAGGTTTCATAGCTATAGTCCAGTTTTCCTACCGAAGGTTAAGAAACTGAAGAAGGTGATAACTCTAGTAAAAAGTTTTTACAGGCTAACGTGTTTTTCTCCTCACAGCCATAGCTTATACGATCCGCGTGACCACCGGTGACCAATCAGATGCAGGCTGTCAAGCGCAGGCGCATATTGTGTTGATTGGCACCGAAGCAGCCACTGAAAAGATCCCGCTCGTGTTGATACAGAAAGAGAGTTTCACTCCAGGGTTAACGGAGACGTTCTCAGTCGAGGCAGTCGACGTCGGAGAGGTGAAGAAAATTGAGCTGTCGAACAACGCTTATGGCGCTGATAGTGGCTGGTTTGTGAAGGAAGTAGAGGTGGATGTACCGACCAGCGGTAAGAAGTACTTTTTCCCGTGCAACAGGTGGTTGTCACAGAACAAGGAAGATGGAAAAGTCGTCAGGGTCCTTTCTGCCGCTGATAATCAGCTGGTCACATACAAACCACGTAAGTTGTTTTGTTTTCTTGGAGAATACGAACCCTAAGGATGGTGTTTTTGCGCGGTGATGACGTTAACGATAAAGCAGACCTCGGCACAGGCTGTCAAAATCCACACTGGAGAATGAGTAGGGATATCTCTAAATCGTACGTGGTTAGCCCGTGTTTTCTATGTTAATATCATAGGTGACGAATTACTCCTTAATTTTGGCGCGAAATTTCAGCGTTAATTTGTAATTTCACATGGCAACCCTTCCGTACTTCTCAGTGTCAAGATGGCGACGAAGTTTTAAAATGCCGTGAATGAAGATGTCAGGGCACAAAAAGACGCTTTAGAAAACCTGAACACACAAGAGAACATCAAGCAGGATTCTAACAGGTATTTTGCCGAAAACGTCTGAAAAATTCTGAACTTTATAAGCCAAATTTAAGGTCTAAACATTTGAGAGAGTGGAGTTCTCGATCGATACGATCCAGGATAAACATGTCAAAAATCCAAGATTGCTAACGTAATTCGTCACCCATGATTTTAATAGGTAATCAAATGGTATACTCGTGAAATTAGGGAATAATTTTGCTTGCGTTTTGTCCAAATCCTAATAATTTCCCGAGCCTTCAGGCGAGGGAAATTATTAGGATTTGGACAAAACGCGCGTGAAATTAGTCCCTAATTTCACTCGTCACCATTTGATTACACATACTTATTTCATAATCCTGGGTCCTTGCTGTGATGAACTTTGTTTGCGCAGTCATGAGGCTCGCAAAGTATTTTCAACTGGCGATTCACCTTATCATATGGCCCATTCTGCGTGCCGACGTCCCAGTTTACTTGTTTGAGAAGCTCTTCATCTGGCATCATAAAGAACAAGTGTTCAAATCCACTTTAATAGTTTTCTCCCTTAAGCGTCAATCTCTATTTTTTAACGCAAGTCGTTGGGCAGTCGCATTTTTTTAAAAATGCTCCTGCCGTATTGTGCTTTTATGTACGAGTAATGGGAGTAACTTGTTGCCTTATAGATGTGCCATACGAGATGACAGTCTACACAGGTGATGTAAAATCAGCCGGGACGGACTCTGCCATCTCCATGACGATGTTCGGCACTGAGGGCACCACTCCTGAGTTTGTTTTGGACAAAGATGAATCCCGGTTTGAACGCGCATGCGTTGATCTTATTAGAATGGACCTCGATGATGTGGGCAAACTGCTGAAAGTCAGGATTGCAGTCGACGGTAAAGGAACCCGCCCAGATTGGTTCTTGGAAAAGGTGCGCCACATAAGTAATTGTGTTTTTTGTTTCTCAAAGGATGAAAAAGTTACATTTATTTAGCAAGTTCTGTTGACCACATTGTTTAGCTTTCGAATTTACCATTAACAGCACGAGTTCTGTCATCTCCTGTCATGCTTGCTAGACGAGAACCTTACAGGATGATTTTTAAATACACGTAAAATAAAATAAAGGGCGATGTTCAAATTTGTAGGCGATCATTCGTCACTACCAATTACGATAATTCTTCCGGGAACTCGCATACAACCTGAGTTCTCTTAGTAAGGTAAAGTACTCATGGACCGTCATCAATGAGCAAAGAACGTTTAATTATTGCTACCGTTACAGGAAAGTGAGAGGCTGAAAGGCGTTGAGATCGTTTTGAAGTTGTTTTCATCGTAGATGATTGGATAGTTACCCGTTCTTCCAGTAGCTCAAACCACAGGAATTTTAAAGACTCGGTGCAGAGTCATGTCTTTCTTGTTTTCCTTTTTCTTCAATAGAAGTTTGTTTGTTTTTTGTTTTACAGATGATTATTAGGAACATGGAGACGCACTCCGCCAGCGTGTTTAAATGCAATGACTGGTTTTCCAAAACAGAAGGGAAACTAGTGAAAGAGATTCCAGCTGAGACGGATGGCGAGGAGATGCTGAAGAGTAAGTTGCTTTCTGCTTTGTTCAACGGCAATACATTAAAAAAGAACCATCTGTTGGTGCTAAATTTTTGATAAACTATTTTATGAATCCTTTGGTGAATTACTGCACAATAGACCTCTTTAGCTTGTATGTTTTGTTTTCCCAGTGCAGGTCTGGTAGTAGTACTCTAGAGAACTGTTTCTTTCAAATTTCGTTTTATTCACGTGGATAAATACGCATAATTAATGAAGACAAAACTTGGTCAAATGCCCTTGGGAACGTCATCGTGAAAACAAAGCATACAAGCTGAAGAGGTCTATTAACCCTTAACAATAATAACTTAACTAGTTATTAACCAGTTGTTTAAACAGCCGGTATTTGACCTTAATGCTGTGAATGCTCATTCTTGACCTTCGAATAATGTGGACTGTCTTTAAGAGACTTCACCTGCAAATACTGCTCTCAGCGTTGTCTTGTGACTTATGTGTATTTACTGATGTGATAACAAGTGATTTACTCAATAATTGATTCTAATTTAAATATACGTAAGTCACGTGACTGCACTTAAGACTTTATTCAAGAGACCCTGAACAAAAGTTGTTCAAACAATATATTTGACGAGTTTGATAACCCGGTGCAGAGCGCACAGCTCTGCATTTTGCAGGCCACTGCGTTTGTAAGGATGGCGAAGATGTTGTCAAGGAAAAGACGGTTACTGCCTCTCTCCACCACCATATACTTTTTCAATACTATCCAACGTACCCTTCACCGCTTAAAAACTATCCGTTTCCGTTTATGGCGGGAAATGTTTCATGCGAAGGAAGCTGTGGAAAACACCCGATAAGACCCTCTTATACAAGTTGCAACGTGAAGCCGTCTAGAGACCTTGCAAGACTACTTGCAGATAACTCTGTTACGTGCGACAAGTCGGTTTAGAAGCGCAATACGGAACTGCGTAGCGAACTGCAAATAGAGCTGAACGATCTCCTGCTCCTTCTCCCGTCGCTAAGAAAAAGCTAACGGAAGTTTTCATTTCCTTTGCTTTTCGCCAGTACATATTTAGAGCAACATAATACGGCTCTTCCCTTCCTTGTTTAGTTCTTGGGCAAGCTTGCTAACAGAGCCTAAACAGGTTGTTCTTCTTTCATATTGTATTCGAGATCGCCATCTGTAAGAATACCGGTGATGAATTCCCTCTTTTCCATAACTAGAAACCACATACAAGATAAACGTGAAGACCGGTGATGTCATGGGTGCAGGAACAGACGCGAACGTGTTTATGGTGATGTTTGGTGAAAACGGGGACAGTGGAGAGCTGGCTTTGAAGAACTCGGAAACGTATAGAGACAAATTCGAAAGAAACCACACCGATGTGTTTACCTTCAATAATTTACTAACTTTAGGTGAGTTTAAATTGTGCTTTCCCTCACAGATGAATCAAATAATTCAGTAATAGAAAACATTTACGAGCAAGTATTTCTTAGTAAAAATTTGTGTAAGAAGGTGGAATTTTGAGGCAAAAAAACTATAGCTACATTGAACAGGATCAGGAAAAGAAAGCGATTTTCATGTAGGCGTTTTTATGCAGCATTTATAGAGCCGTCAGTGACATTTCTTGGTAAAACCTCTTAGTTATGCATGCTTGGTCACATTCGTATTTATTGTACGGCTCGCTTGTGATCTTTCTCCGTTTCTTTTAAACCACTCAAATCTAAGTTATAAAATTTATAAATATTTTCGATCCGCGTGTTTATTGGTCTTTGCTGTAGGTAGCGAAGTGTAGCTTTTAAGGTCAGTAACTAGAACTCGAACTGTTCAGTGTAGTGAGGTGTATTTGTAACTAAAAAGAAAACAGTCGAACCTGCCCCTTCAGACACCTCAATAATACGGACACCTCTCAAAACACGCACATTTCTCTTACTTCCAAAGATGCAATCCCTACTTCTTTAATACGGACTTCTCTGCTTGTGGTGCTCCTACAAAGGTGGTTGGACTGTCTACAGGACAAACGGGTTGTCTTTTCAATATGATCTGTGCGAAAGCCATTCAGTGCAACTTAGCTATTACCTTGTGGATGTTTCCGGGGAGCAACCAAATCCTGTGATGAAATGTGAGAAGTGCGAGATGCATCAGGCTTTTTCATTTTCATTCATTTTTCTTGTTTCCTCTGTCTCTTTAGGCGACCTTACGAAAGTGCGCATTTGGCATGACAATAAATTTCTTGGTGCAAACTGGTATCTTGAAAGCGTGGAAATTGTGGACGAGTCAACTGACGAAAAATTTCTCTTTCCGTGCAACCGCTGGCTCGCTAAGGACAAAGATGATGGGAGTCTGGTACGAGAGCTAACATGCGCAAATCCAAAGAAGAGCGCTGATTCAAGAACACCTACATGTAAGTCACGCATTGTGCTTATGTAGTTATCCTATGTGAAGGGCTGTATCAATCTGTATTGATAGCTCAAACAAAATGAATCTTGCTCCAGCATGTCTGAAAATCTAGACAATGGAGGAGGTGGCGAGAGATTTCACACGCATAGTTAACGTGAAATGTCAAATCAAAAATTGTTGTCTCGAAATGTCTCTTTTCGTCCTTTCAGAACAAAAATGTTCGTTTTACTCTGGACAAATTAAGATAGGGCTGGGTAGGAGTTGACTGAGATTAAAAGTGTAAGAAAGAAAGAGAAACAAGGAAATTAGTTCGCTGGGATAATTTGCCTTTGTCTCGATGAATACGGTAACTGAAACAGTCAGTTTTGCGGGTGAACCTACTATGTTAGGTTGTCAATGCTGCGGTCAAAGTTAATAGAACTTTTACAAGTGAAATGTAGCTATTCGTTTAGAGTCGGAAAACAATAGCCACACTTGTAAATTACACTTGTTTAAGTCCCTGAAGTTTGGTTCAAATAGCAAAGATAAATGACCGTTGAAACATAAGTTTGTCCAGTGAAAAAATTTACTACCTTACACAGCCCTAAGAAAATTACCGTAATAGTAAAAGTAAAAGGTGGTTGAGGTTCAACACTGATTTCCTTTTTTTTGTCATAGCGTTTGAACTGACCTTTCTCACAAGCGACAAGCAAAACGCTGGAACGACGCAAAATGCCTGGATCGTCCTAGAAGGAGAAGAAAGAAAGTCCCAAGAATACGTGATAGAAAACAGCGCCAAGAACAAAGTACTGCGACGCGGGCAGACTGACACCTTTAAATTTGTCACCAAACGGTTGGGAAGTCTTACTCACGTGACCATAGGACACAGGAGACGAGAGGGTTCCACGGTCAAGGGAACTGGGAAAGAAACTGGATGGTTCTTACATGAATTGATTGTCTCTGCACAACAGTCTGGAGAAAAGTAAGCGCGAAAAAAACTGCTTCCGTAAAACCTTTTAAATAAAGGGCATGTGTGGAAAAAGGGTTTGAATCAGGGTTCACAGTGCTCCTGAAATTCTTTGAAAATTTTTGCTCCTCCAGAGTGCTGGAAGAAAATTATCTTTTTTCTGAAAATTCTCTTTCTTATATACCGGTACTCCTGGTAACTCTCGGAATTTCATTATTGAATTGGATGAATGTGGCGGGGGGTTTACTACAATTTAAGAGGCTATGTACTTTTTCAATAGGGGAAGCAAAAACGTTTAACCAGCAATGACCGGCAGAAAAGGCGTACTTTTTAAAGCGTTTTTCACGCAAGCAATGGCAGGCGCGAGTCAGGTCGCTCTTGCCTTTGCTTACTTGTAAAACGTGTGAAGGTAACGCCTGTTTTGCCGTGTAGACGAACAGTGGTTTGTTTGAATTCTGTGTGGGTACCTTACGAGACCTTGACAATGAGGACAACGAGAACTGCCCTTTGTTTACACTTTTTTTTTTAAAGTCTCTCCCGTCGTGGTTGCTGCCTATTCTCTTGTCGTAACTCGAACGCCTGGAAACCGGCTTTCCTATTCTGAGTTACCCAATTAAACCTGTCAGTCATTTAACGCTTTATTGGGTTTTGCAGATACGTATTTCCCTGTCGTCAGTGGATTCCTCTCAGCTCCGATAAAAATGACGCTGTTCGGCTGGAATGTAAAACAGCTGAGAAACCGAGAGCGGCAGCAATCAGAGGTATAGTGTTTGCTCATTACAGTGTATACGTAACGTACAACTACAATAGACTATAAAAACAGCACATGCGCGACTGAGACGGTGTGTGGCGTTTTTTGTGTCGAAATCCCCCTTAGCTACCAGAAGCGGGACGAGATTCTGTTTTGGACAAATGGTTGAAAAAACACAGGACTAGTAAATTTCGTTCGGGATTTGCACAAATTTCTGAAATACGGCCGCGAGCTCCCTCGATTCAACAACATCAACAACAACAGGTCTGAACAGGTGTTTGGGGTGTTGACTGTTTGTTACTCATATACTTTTGCCCTTCTCACCTTGTTTCAGACCTTCAACCTGTTCAATATCTAGTGGAGGTCTTTACAGCCGACGTATCACATGCAGGCACAGATGCAAACGTGTCCATTACCTTATATGGCGCAAACGGCGACACTGGACAAAGACAGCTCACTAAGAAGTTGGTCAACTTGTTCGAGAGAGGACAGACTGACGATTTCAAGATCGAAGCGTTGGATCTTGGTCAACTGACTCGCTTGCGCATTGAACATGATAATAAAGGCTTCGGAGCTGGATGGATGCTTGATAAAGTTGTGGTCACTAATATGACGAGTCAAGAGAAAGTGACTTTTCCTTGCGGCCAGTGGCTTGATAAGAAGAAGGGCGATGGAAAAATCTGTCGGGATCTGCTTCCTCTACCTTCATAACTGGAGCCTGTGGAGAAGCTGACTACGAATCTTTAATGAGGAACTTCGTTGAATCTAGGTTTCAATCGCGTGTTGAATTTCTAAATTCTGTGAGGACAGTGTTATACAGAACGTTGATGATCCCACTTCTCGCAGTTTAATTGAATAACTCACGAGTATCTCTCTAAAACGACCATAATGCTAGTGCACAAGTCTGGCCAGGTTTATCTGCTTGAGCTCGGTTACGAACCAAAAGTGAATTCGCTCATGGCGAGCAGCCATGTTGACATACCTGGAGATCTCGCCAGCTACGCAAGCTATGTTGAAGTATCTCCAAGGACAAATGATCACGAAAATGTATTTCAGGGTCTTGAGACCTCAAGATATACCCCTTTACCCCTTTCCGATCGCTGTTATAATATTAGATGCCAAGTATTACAATTCCTTCGTCGTTGTATCGAGAAAATACTATATTTTTTTATAAATGTTTTCATTTTTATTCAGAGCAAGGCAGTGTAATATCTTTTTAGACAAGCGTGCATTACGGTCTACATTATTAAAGGGAGGTGTTGTTAGGAATAGGGTGTATAATACTATATTTATTCTTCATTTTAAATTGTTGTTACATGTTCAAAAAATTAGTTATTTATTTATACATTTGTTCGGGCTAAAGGTGTTGAAAGTGCTTGATTAGAAACAAAACGAAGCTCTACTTGTTATTTAAGACTTAAGATCCTTTCACTTCCAGGAAAGGAACGCCCAAGTTATTTGAATGAAATTTTATGTTTGGGAGCTGTTGTTAGCATTAAATCAACAACTCAGTAAGAATAAAAGTCAGTAGGCATCCAATAATATGCTGTTGCGTTTTACGGGAACAAATTTGTGCGAATTTGGATTTCAAATGAAGTGCTAGAAAAACATTTTTGTAGGGGTATTGATTGCGATTCGAAAAAAGCTATAATGTTGCGTTTCTTTGTGAATTTTCCATGCAGAATCGAGTCAATTGATTGTCATCACCATGAAAATGTACGGCTGTGGCTACGACTTGTGTGCTCCACGAAGACCAAAAGTTTACACAGTTTGCAGTTCGTTGAATAAATTGGGTTGAAGTGAATTTTTCTTCCACTTTTGGTTCTGTCGCCGTCACCTTATGAATGTGGTAATTTATAAATTTAGACTTTACATATATATTCACGAAAGTAAAATGTTGACTGTGTTTTGTTTGCGCCATATGCAAAACTACCGACCTGCAAATAGCCCACGTTCGTTACATTAAAATTCTAACATGACTCCAAGGCTTTCTGGTCGATATTTGGTTTGTTTTTTTTTAGTTCAAGGTTCTAGTCCATGGAGTCGTGAAAAATTTGCAATTTTGCTCGTAGAGCCTCGGAGACAAGTTAGAATTTTAATACATCGAACTTGCTCTATTATTATATGACATTGCCACCTGGCTCGATAGGCCCTTACACATTTTCGTAATTTATTCCCGAAACGAAGCACTATCACAGTTTAAGTGAATAAAATGCAGATAAAACCAGGCAAAAACAAAGCTCAGCTTTACTTCGCTACTTTTTTCCACTTATAGCGGAAGCTATTTATTTTCGTGAATTGAAATATATGAAATGAATCATAATTTGAACCGCGGATGAAAAGTGAACATGATTTTCGCAGTTGTAATAAACAACTGAAAAGGTTGAAAAAGAACCTAAAAAAATCCAGAGCGTTGCATGTGGTCATCGCAAAGGTCAGAATGCGTTTCCCGGTCGAGACTGGATTTTCAACCGCTTAGGTTTATTCTATTGCGAAAATCGTGTCACTTTCATATAAAATGTTTTGGTAATCTAATTTTCATGTTATACAAAGTTCGGTCTTAAATTAAACACTTGGCGAGAAAGTAATTGCAGAGCAGCTGTAGTAAGTTGTTTTGTCTTCGTCTGATTATTAATTCGTTCGTCTTGAACGAAAATTGTATCAGTTTTCTTTGACAACGTTTTTGGCACTTTCTATATTTAATTAACAAAATCTAGCATTAACCAGAGTGGCCATCTCACAAAGAGTTTTATTAGCGTAAATCGCGTATTGACCGTATTATTTTATCTCTGAAAACACTTGACGTTTGCCTTTTTGAATATTGAGATCATATCTGACTCTCTTCATACTGATAAGATGTATATCCTAATCCAGCGTCACGGTGAAGGTCGGATCCGGCCCAATACTTCTATCTAAAGAGGACTTGCACAGTTTACAATTATCAAAGAGGCAAAGTAACGTTCAGTGCTGAGTTGATCTTTCCAACACTTAGCACACGCGCTGAGAGAAAAAATTAAACACACTCTGTCCTGGGTTTATTCGTTAACTGTCATTACAGGGACTGTCGGTGCATCTCTGCTTCTTTTCTTCTTGATATACGTAGCACATTTTAAAATTCATTTGTTCTTCGAGTTTATTCGACCAGACAAGGATATGTTCACTTTAGTGTGCCCAATATATTTCATGAATGCTTGACGAATTTCGCTTATTCTCCAGCAGTAGAGTCCAGGGTTAATAACTGAATTTGCAAAAACAAGTGTTCCTGTTACTGCATAAGCTGTTCTTAGAGAAGACGATTTGCCAGTAACAAGATAGATCACAATGACACATGCAAAAGGGAGATAACATAACCAGAACAGTCCAACTATGTACACTACAGTCAAAAGTGACTTGTTCGACTTCAGCTCCTCGGTGGTTGTTGAAGAACCACTGAACTGTGCCACAGAAGACCTTTGAGTTTGAATTTGCACCCTATGACGGTTAATAACTCGAAATATTTTATAGTAAATCAACAATATTGTTACAAGACAGAGAAGTATGATGATGACGTTAGTTAATAAAAAAGTGTAGTTAGTGACTCCTATAACACGCGCAAATGCATTGACAGAAAATAAAGGCCATATCGCAATCACAAACATCGAGGTACGGAAAACTGTTACGAAATGACTGTAACGCAAATGCGTCGTAACGGCAAGGAATCTATCCACGCTTAGAGCGAGAACGGTTGTTCCTGATATTCCGCTTGCGAACCAAGCGGTCGATTCCATCACGACTCCTGGTACACAGAACAAGTGTTCATTCAAAGTAAGCTCTCCAACCACGTGAATAACTTCCATTGGTTGAGTTATCAGCCCGTTCAGGAAGTCTGAACAAGCAAGGCACAGGAGAAGTATGTTGGAAGGCGATGAGTGAAGAGACGGGTTTCTCCATATTGTGGCTATAACTAATCCATTTGATAAAATAGTAGGTACAATGAGCAAAGAGTTAACGACGCAGGTGATTATTTTCAAAGAGTCCTGAAATTGTGTTGAGTTTCCAGTGAAATCGAGAAAGTAGCAATCCATGGATGAAATCATGTCATTTGAGATTTTGCTGTAACGCCATAATTTAGGCGTCGTACTATGGTGTTAATTTTCTAACAGGACATAGATGGTCAGGATGTGAGTCAGTTCTCCATAGTAATAACAGAATAACGTCGACCGCAGCTGCTTTTTATGTGCAAGCGGCTCTATGAATGATCGATTAGCATTTTGTTCACCTGACGCTGTGTGGGAAATATCATTAACAAAATATTGGATGTGAAGAAGCGGAAAGCTTAAGAAGTAAACCTTACATTTTATTTATAGAAACTAACAGGAACAACAAATATAATAACACTAGAATGCTGTTCAATGTTTGCTATCTTACAAATACACAGTGTGGGCAGATTGGTTGTAAGTTATAGAAAGGTGCAAAGGTACTTTGAGCTCATACGCCTAGAATAGCCCCGTAAACTAAAGTGGAAAGTTTTCCAAGCGTGAAAGCAGTTTTGTAAAGGAAAAAAATATAAGTTAACTTGAAATAATCAGAATTAACGGAATTCGCGTCTAGAAGTGATAGGTATTTCATTTGACAAAAAAGTTTATTTCGTATAACTAGGATAAATCTACATGCATGCGGCTGTTTGGTTCGCAAAACCTTGTTTATTCCGTATTTCAAGAATAGGAAACAAAACTAATGAAAATTCAGTTCTAAGTTTTTGGCCAGAACAATCCACAGAGTCATTATAAAAGAATGCTAGGTTTTTGAATGCCACGGCCTTTCCCATGAAGAGTTTCAAGAGGCTAAAAAATGATTGAAACTCTGACATTGAATCAACTGACTAACGCGCCTCCAAAGAAAAGCTTTTATCCTGAATAAAGTAATACTGCTACGAATTAATTAGAATTAAGGAAGTCTGTAGTATTCAAATCCATGTCTTATTAACTTTTAAATTACGTATGTAAAGCAGCATAGCATAAGATGTAAATTAGCGAATCTGTGTATTTTGGCTTTCCTAGGCTATGTTCACGCCATACCGCATAGCTTTTGCGGCGGTACGGAAACAATACTGAATAGAGCTTCTATTCACATAACAACGGTAATTTCGACCCGATTTCTGTAAAAGGAGCGAGGCTGCGCCACGCCGATCACAAAAGTGGAGAGTCACATTTTGGTACGAAAAGATATCCATAGCCTAACACCGTGGCAAAACGCAATGCGCATGAGCACAAAATTTAATATCCGGTCAGCTTTTTATTTCCGGTCTATTATATAAACCAATAGCGTAAGCATAACTTTGCCGTCGCTCCAAGTTTAAAAGCAAAAAGGGCGAAACAGACAAAAAAGGGGCCAAAAAAATCACTTCATTCGAAAGCTTATATATTTTTCTATTCTCAAACTTTTGCACCACATGGTTATCTGTTTGCACCAACGGTGAAAATGATGTTTGAGGTTTGCAGGTCGCGAGCGCTCAACAAGACGAATTTGTTTTTACTGGTTTTCTTGCATGCTACTGGTTTGGCATAAGTTAATTTGGGAGAAGGCGACAACTAAGAAAAAAATAACAATACTTATGAAAGAAACCAAAATAAAGACGTCATCATTATCACAAAAAACACTAAAACCAGGAAATAAAATTTTAGTCCGTTCAATAATTTGTTTTATTATCAGAGAAAACAAGTGACTTTCATTCAAGAAAATGCCTATTTAATTCTTTTACATGGTTGTTCTTTTGTTGAAGACTTCAATAATTTCAGACTGTGCGGCTCGGCTGCATCTCATGCAAACACGAAACTTCTAGCTCCTAAATACATGGCATGAAAAGTTCGACTTCTAAAAGGCACTTAACCAGCTTTCGCTCTCTGATTCTGAGAATGGAAAAATAAATAAATAGAATTGTCAACTTGCTGCCAACCGGCTCAACAGTATAATTAAGCTTGTGTTTCATGGCAATCAACCCAGAAGAGTTTCGTTTTAAAACACGGTAAAACCCACTGGTAAACAAAACTACAAAGCGATTGTGTGTTGTCGTTTTCCAAATAAAGTTTGAATCGGCTTTAACACATGTAGACTGAGAAACTGAAGAACTGAAAATTAGAACTACAATACACAAGCTTGCAATGATAACGTTTTAATTTTATGTCTTAGTTTCAGCCAGGTTAAGTGAAAAATAACAGTCAAAAACTTTATTTTCGTGAATGAAAATCAGTTTACCTGACGCTCTAGCCAAAATTACACACTGAGTTATTATCATCTTACCTTTTCTGAATCTAATCGACTAATTGTTTCAGTGATCTGTGCCTGGTTATCCATAAAAGCAATTTCAATAACTACAAAAAAGCAGAACAACTGAACCACAAGCTGCACACAGAATAAAGCGCGCGGGAGACTTTGACTGGAAAGTGTGACTAAAAAAAGAGACCGGAAATGCTCAACCTGGCGCATGCGTAGACGTTTTGCCGCGGTGTTCCATAGCCTAGCCTCAAAGACGGCGGATCCTGCTTATGGGCGAGTGCTTACCAAGGGCTACTGAGGGTACCCTTACAATCGTGAATTTGGCTTTGTTTTCTGGCCAGCCGTTAAGTCTGACATTTGAGGAACTTTCCGCTTATTTGGAAAGTGCGCCCATTTACAGGCCCAGAAACAAATTAACAGAGCGTATGAAATCTCATCAGCCAAGATCTTTCGCACTTGAGTAGAGCACCTATCTTGTCACAACAGTTCACTACTCAGACTTTAAGTTACTTTATTTAAAATGGCGAGGTGGAAAACATTATATTCAGCAAGATCGCAGCAAAAACTGAGCTCTGACTTGCCGGTCATCGCGTACCTGAGGGAATGCGCATCAGAACTGTATATAACTTTATCTATTTTTACATTTTTACATACTCTTGGGCTAGTTTATATACATGTATAATTATACTGATATAATTATATTTTTTAATATTTTCATCAGTTTATAATGATTAGTCCGTTTTAAACTATTTTTAATGCATGTTCTTAGGTTTTTTTAGAGTTTTTTTTTTTCAGAAAATAGTTTCTTAAAAAATTTTCCCAAAATTACCATGTTTTTAGGTTTTTCTTAATATTTGTGTATACATAATTCACTTTTTATCCTCTTTTGTATTTTTTAGTTTTTCGAGCGTTTTTAACATGAGCCTCTGGCTCGGAAGATTGTGTAAACGCTTCCCACGTCTTCGACATTAAATAAATCATTCATTCATTCAATCAGTTCATCGCACCTGCCCCTTAGCAGTGCTGCAGAAAAATACTGTGTTATAAAAACATCACAAACTGAACTCACTCTACTGGCCAACAGTTACTGTGTTTTTTAGGTT